AGCCAGAGAGTGTCTGCTGCCCCCTCTGCCAAGTCAGGTAGAGGACGGAGGACCGGGGCTATGAGGGAAGCCCAGATTTCTAACTCCAGTGTCCCCATCCAGACTTTGCCATCAAAGGATGGGCAACCCGAGTGAGCTGGTTTTCTCTTCTGGGCCTCAGTTTGCCTAGTTTCCCAGCAAAGCAAGTGTTCTGTGCTCTCTAGGTGCACCTGGCTTCAAGGTCCTAATGGGTCTTCCGATCGCTTCTGTTCCCTCAGGCCTCTTCACAGTTATTGGGTGTTTGCTTCTGAGAGGGCTGCTTGCCTGGACCTGATTAAACCACTCAAATGGATTAATCACCCTGGGATCAAGCTAACCCCCCCGCCCCCCCACTGGATTGGGGTCATTCGTGTCCGATTTTGAGAGACTGTGGCAGCAGTTAGACACTGTCCAAAAGAAGCAGATTCGGGGGGCCGAGTTTCGGTTATTATGACAGAGTTGTTCTGATTTCTAGGTCGTCGTCGGAGAGCATTCTTAAGGTGTGTAGCAACCAAAGAATGCCTCCAGGTCTCCCGCCTTGGCTGCGGAGCCTCCGCATGACTGCTTTAGGGTCACTGTGGGCGCTGCCTTGTAGAAACAAGTCACACTGCTCCCTAGCAGCATCAGGATTAGCAAGGAATTTTAGCAGCGACAAGTCCTGAAACTGCTATTTTAAAAGCAACGCCTACACTGGGAAGCAGTTACATCAGGCACTGCCTGAGGTATATAAATTATAACTCCACCCTGTTGTCGGATTTGGCTGACCCCACCTTTACAGATTGAGTCTTTGGGAATATTCTCTCAGTCCCAGTATAACTTCAGAGCATCACATGGCCTCATTCCACTGAAGCCCCTTTTTCTGTGTGAGGTTAAATTCCAGGAAATCAGTGCTTTTCTGAACTTAACTTGCGTGAGTGTTCTGTTAGGGGACGACGAGTGCAGTGGCATCCAAGTGGACAAGACAAGCACCCAGTGCAGATCCGGGCCCGGGGTCCACGGCGCCTGCAGCTGAGAGCCGGTCTGTGAGGTGCTCCGAGTCTGTCGGAGAGAGACCAGCATAGGACGAGGTCCAGCTCAGTGGGAGGAGGTGGTGAGGGCTCAGGAAAGGAGCCAGGAAAGTCTTCGTGGGAGCCCAGGAGCAGCACTGGGCTGGGCCTGCCCCGGCACACCCATCGGGCGGTCAGGGTTTCCTTCCACCTTGGCACCGTGCACGTTTTGTGCTGGGTAATTCTTTGTCAGGGGGGCTGTCCTGGCTTTAGCAGCATCCCTGGCTTCTACCCATCAGATGCCAGCAGTACCTCTCCTGCTAGTTTGTAACAACCAGAAACGTCTCCCGGTGGTGTCAAATGTCCAGGGGCAGGGAGCCAGGGAGGCCGACTTGCTCTGTTGAGAACCACTGAACTAGAGGGACAGAAGGCAGTCAGAACAGCCACCCTGTTCAGGGGTAGATCGTGTGCTCTGTGTTGGAGTTTGGAACAAGGGAAGGGTGTGGCGGGTTGTGTTTCTTAGGAAGACGGCCTGGGGCATATGGATAAGAGGTTGAAGCCACAGCCTTAACTAGGAGGGAAAGGGCCAAAAGACCCTGGAGAAGCAAGACTTGTGCCTGAGTGGATATGGACAGTAGGGGAGAGGGCGTTGCCAAGGGTGACCGAGGGTTCTGTGTTGAGGGCCTGGGTGGATAGATCTGAAGTCGGGTAACAAGGGAGACATTGACGTTTCTGGTGCCTATAGGACCTGAGAGGAGTCAGGATGCTCACAGTCAGCACATCTGATGCTGTTTTGTCTCTCTTCCTTCCAGTCTCCCAAAACAGCTGGACTGCGACCAATGGAAAAAAAGGACATTCCAGTAGTTCACCAGCTTCTCACCAGGTACCTGAAGCAGTTCCACCTCACGCCAGTCATGAGCCAGGAGGAGGTGGAACACTGGTTCTACCCCCAGGAGAATATCATTGACACTTTTGTGGTGGAGGTGAGTGGGGAGGGCTGTTCGGGCCTCTGACCATTCACAGAGCGGCATCCTCCTCAAGTGGCTAGGTTTCCCGGCCTCGGTGACTGAAGAACCAATTGACGGGCATGTTGGCACCCTAGACTTCCTGACCATCCATGCTCGCTCCTCCCTAATGACAGGGAGTTGTAGGTTGCATTTGCTAAAATGATCCCTCTGGCCTTGCTGTGAGCCTTCTCCCTCCCACCACCCCTAGTCCCCATTGATGACAGACTACGCCCCTTAGTCAGGTAAGCCTGCAATCCTTGCCTGTCGTGGCTTGAGGTAGTGCTGGTCAGGCACTGGGGACACACTTCGGGGGAATGTGAGCCACAAGAAGTCTCTGGGGAAGCGCAGGCCAGGAAAGAGCTGACAGACTCAGCCCACGCTCTAGCCTGGATTTTCCTTCTGGCTCTGTCCTCAAGGGCCCGGCCAGTGTACTTCCTCCTCCCTGCATATTCTGTTTCAGCTTCCACCCAGTTGTTTATCGGGGCAGAGCTGCCTGTGGGTGACGTGAGAGCAAGAGAAAACCATGTGTTCCCAGCCTACAGGATTCCCGTGCATGTGTGACATTGCCTCCTTTCGCTGTCTTCCCTTCAGAATGCAAATGGTGAGGTGACAGATTTCCTGAGCTTTTATACGCTTCCCTCCACCATCATGAACCATCCAACCCACAAGAGTCTAAAGGCTGCTTATTCTTTCTACAACGTTCACACCCAGACCCCTCTTCTAGACCTCATGAGTGACGCCCTTGTTCTCGCCAAAACGGTGAGGAGCAGACTGGAGGGAGGGGCAGCTCTGTGGGGCAGTGGCAGTGGAAAGGTGGTGAGCACAGCTAGGGATGCAGCTGCCCATGGGCCAGGGGCTTTGAGCCTACCTTGTCCTCTGGCTCTGCGTAGGGAGGAGCCCAGCAGTTGTCAGCCAGCAGCTAGAAACTGGGAGGGAGCAAGGAGCATCCACATGAAGTGAAGGCATTGAACTCCTCCTGATTTATTTCAGTGAGTTTCGTTCTCACGGGAGGCGCTGCCAAGGAGCCTGAATAGCCAGGCCTGCTCGGGGAGGAAAGGGGTCCTCCTCACGACCTCCCCAGCGTGGGAATGGGGAGATTGGTCTCTGTCGTGGTGAGTCATTGGAGCGCTGACTGTAGAGCTGGGGGAGGGGCCCAGGTGTCTCATACCCAAGAAGTCGTCTTCAGTCAGTCCTTCATTATGGGTTCTGCCTGCAGGGAGCCCAGCCCACTGTGGGCCAGCTAGACCAGCGGTCGCAACCTTTTGGACCTCACAGACCGCTAGTGGTCCGACCGCTGAGCTAGACGATGGGCAGTCCAGTCCCTGCCCTGGGAGAGCTTCTGATCAAGGTGGTGAGGTGTAGGAAGTACCTTCATCACAGTCTCAAAGCAGCGCACTGGGTGTGCTGAAGTCACAGGGTGTACACTGAAGGCCTACGAGTTGAGGTGTCCAGGGAGTGAGGGAGCAGTGCAAGTGCGGACAGGAGCTAGCTTCCCCAAGGAAGGGGTTCCGGGCTGGGTCTCCAGCGAGGACTGTGGCAGTTACTCGAGTATTTCAGGGACGTGCGACAGGAGCAGTGAGGACGCAGTGGGCTTGGAGGCTCACTGGGGAGAGGCAGGTAGGATGGCCTCGGTGTCCTGAGAACCGCCACTAGTGAGCGGGCGCTCTCTGGAGTTGGAATTCAACAGGAAGCAGCCAGAGCTACGAAGGAAGATTGCTCTGTGGCCGCCTGTGGGATGGCTCTGACAGGATAGAAAAGGGCAGGAAGGTGAGGCAGCTTTTACCCCTCCTCACCTGCTCTCTTGCTCCTTGTTGCTGTACAGAAAGGGTTTGACGTGTTCAATGCACTGGATCTCATGGAGAACAAAACCTTCTTGGAGAAGCTAAAGTTCGGCATAGGGGACGGCAACCTGCAGTATTATCTTTACAATTGGAAGTGCCCCAGCATGGGGGCAGAGAAGGTAAGTAAGCTACTGGGCCTGTCCAGGCCAGGGAGTTGGTGGAGCAAAGGCAGGGCCTGGGTCTGGGATCCAGCATCAGTCTGGGCCCTTGTTAACTGGTGTTTGGCCCCCTGAAAAGTCCCCTCCCTCTAATGGCCAGACTAGTGAGGGTGGCAGAGGGGATGGGCTCCAGAGCCACAGAAGCAAGGTTGTCTCCAGCTTCTCTTCCCGCCAGGCGAGTCACTTCCGCTGGCTGGGGCAGGGCATTTGGGACTCAGGAAACCCTGCAAGTGAATTGCCCACTGTTCGCCAGGAAGGTTAGAGTCGAGGGTCGAGGGCTTTTTCCTCTGCTGGCTGCTGCCCTCATCCCAGCCCTTCTTCCACCCACCTCGGCCCTTCTTCCTCCATCAGCTCCAAAGGGCAGCCCAGGACCATGGTGTGGTCAGCAGTTAACAAAGTAACTGCTGGACGGAGAGGCCTGCTGACCAGTGCTCGAGACGCTGGCAGCTGCTCTCCTCTAAGGACATGATAAATGTAAAGGTTGAGTGTGAGCCTCGGCTCGCTGTGCGTCTGCTCCCACGGCCCAGCAGCGCTGTGAGCTCAGCCATTTGGCGCTTCAGGTCCGTGGGGAAGTGGGAGAGGCTTCCAGCAACTGTCAACTCAACTCTGCCTCTCCGATTGGCTCTCCTAGGTTGGGCTGGTGTTACAGTAACCAGTTGCCAGTGAGATTCTGGATAAAGCCACTGAGAATTCAAACCAGGAAATGGAATCCCACCACTTGTTGGTCCAATTTTCACAAACGTGAGAATCCCTGGCAAAGGGAACAGAAGTGAACCGGCTTAACCAAACCGCCACTGAACTTGACAATTGTTTTGCGATGGCGTAGGCTGCGTGATGTCACCTCTGGCCGTGTCTCTGGTCTCCCTGTTTTCCAGTTAATCACATCCTTATGCAGCCATGATCAAGGGAATGTAACTGCTGAAAACTAGCTCGTGATTGGCATATTATGGAGTTAACGGGTGAATAATAAAAGTATATATTATATATATATAAATATTTTAAATATCTTTCATGTTCCAAATGTACAAGGATGTTCGGTCTCTAATGAAAAGCTGAATTCAGATCATTCCTGAAAATTAGAATCAAGGACAGGGCCAGACGTACACATTGCTACAGTGAATTGTTCTCTTCTGCAAGCAGGTATCGGCTTTTCTTGGGGGAACAGGAGGAAGAGGATGTGGGCAATTCTGTCCAGTTCCCCTTCTGAATTGGCTGGAATGATTGGCTTTGAGAAGGCAGAGGAAGGTGGAGGGTCTGTGCCAAGCTGTGGGGAGGGCCTGATCTCACAGACTGCAGGTGGAGTCCTAGGTGGAGCCAGTCCTCCTCAGAGGCTTTCCCGCCGGCCCGGGCCTTTTCTGCATTCAGAAACGGGCGGTGGTGATCTGTGGAAGCAGATTTCATTAAATGAGTCCCTTCTCCCACCTGCTTGGCCTGCTCCCTGTTGGAAGCCATCCTGCCAACTCTTTAGCCAGCTGTTGCCAATCTTATAGGCGTGAGTCCCCCATGAGATTGTTTTTCCATTTCCAGGGGTGACTGGCAGTTTGAAGGGGACCTTTGACCTCCTTGTAGCATTTGGGACTTTGTGGAGACCATGTCAGTGCAAGGCCTGGTTAGCTCATCTTAGAGCAAAGAGCCAGCACCCTCACGTCCCCAGGGTGGCTGGGCAAGGATGGTGTGGGTTCCCAGGCCCCTGGCCTGTGCCTTCCAACCCATTGGCCATCTCTTGTGCTCCTTTCCAAGACAGCCTGCGAGGAATGGCAAGGAGCGGTGGTTAGACGCCAATCTGAACTGAACAGACATGATTTCATGTTGCCATTGTCTGCGTGTGGTTTTCACTGATGATATTCGGTGGATTTTTGTGGTGGTGGTGGTGATGGTTATGATGCTGCCCGTTTCCCCACAGTAGTGGGACCTCCGGTCACGTGGCTGGCTGTGTAGGCATTCCTGTTCTTCACGTGTGCTCAGCCAACTGGCTTAGGGAGGATTTGGCTGGAATTGTCAGCAACCCACATCCAGGTTTGTATGTGACTTTTGCTCTAGGAGAAAGGAAGTGGGTGGATAACGTGGTGTGACGGCTTCCTGGCTGCTTTCACCTCTCAGCTACTTGTAGGGGGAAGGAAGTCTTAGCCAGGAGGCCAGACTCAGTCTGGTCTTACCAGCTGCAGCCATGCCCTGCAGGCTAGCAGAGCTGTTGGAGGCTGTGGTTTGGGTGAGGTTGGCCAGAGGTTCATTCTGCTGTCCCGGAAGCTGAAAGAAATCCTGTGCTTGGGATCGGGGCTGTGCCACCTGCTGGAATGTTGCCTGCTCTTGGTAGACTGGATTGAGTTTGCATCAGGCCTCTAGGGGCCTCCCTTCTCCTGTTGTCCCTGCTCTGCAACCTGCAGGCACCAGGGACCATGGCTGACCTTTGACTCCTTGACTCCAAGATACCCAGACCAAAGAAGCTGCTGTTCTTAGCAAGGTGTTCCCTGCATTCCACAGACAAGGGGTCAGAGAGGTGGAAGCTTGCCTTACAGCTTCTGAGACATCAGACACAAGGCCCTGAGCCCCAGAGCAGCTCGCCCAGTGCAGGCTCCTAAGGATATCAAAGAACACAGTGCCCAGCTCTTTCTTACCTGGGCAGACCTGAAACTTGGAGACACTCCCTCTCTGGGCCAAGTCCCAGCCTGACTGCCCCTGGAGTTTGCCTGGGTTGACCCAGGTCATGGAAGGGAAACTGTGAGGCCTGTGGCTGCTCTGGAAGAAACAGATCTCCTGGAAAGGCCCGTGTCTCCCTCCAAAACCACGTGGCCCCTCCTTGGACTCCAGTCGTTCATGGCGGGGACCCTGCCCGCCCTCAGCACCACCACCAGGGCTTCGGGAGGAGGCTCAGTGGCTGCTGCTGGCTTCCTTTTTGTCCAAACGGTCCCTGGGTTCTTCACTCCACCCCTTCCAGGACTTCAGGTCAGAGAGAACCACTGTTTGGGATTCAAGGCCTCCTCACAAGGAGCTTTGCAGGATGGTGGAGCCATGGCTGGATAGAACCAAACAAGGGAAGGACCTGGGACCTGCCTCCGGCAGCTGCTATTGGAGAGCCTCCGGGCATGGCCCTCGTACTCTGCCACCTCCACTCCTTGCTGACACTGGGCTTTTGGACACTCGTGTTTCTATATGTTTATCTCCTGCCTTTGGATTGACTCTGCATTTGATCCCTGACTCCCTGGCAAATCCCTGTGGCCTCCCTGTCTGTGTAGGGGGAGAGCTGGATAGAAAAAGAAGCCTCGGTTCTGGATTGAGGTCTGTAAGGGCTTGTTACCCCGCACATGCCTGCATGCGAAGACGCCAATGTCTGGTTTGAAGGCCGGCCCACACCGAGCCACTTCAGCACCTAGGTTTATGGAAAACATCGGGCCTTTTCTGCACCTCCCTTCTAACTGTCAGTCCCCCCTACTTGCTGGCTCTCTGAAGCCCGAGGGTGGGTGTCCCAGTTGTCTTTAATTCTTTGCTCCAAGATGACCAGCATTTCACCAACCCAAAGGGTGTCCCAAAGGCCTGGAGAGCTTCAGGGAGCTGCAGTCTAGGAGAGGGTGAAGGGCGGTCAGACCAGGGGAGGGGGCAGGTTTGTATCTGGTCAGTGCCAACCTGCCCCAGTCAGAGGCGGCCCAAGGCTTCAGTTTTGCCCTGCAAAGTGAAAGCAGGCCTGCAAACACTGTCCCTGGAGAGGCTCTGTGGGACAGTTTCATTCAATTAAATAAAAAATATTGACTGACTGCAGGTGCTGCATCTTGGAACAGGGAAGGTGAGGCTTTACCTTTTCGTCTTGGCTTTTCTCTGGGCTATGGGAGAGGCCCCCGTTCCCAGGGCGGGGGAAGAAATACCAAATGCATTGTTCGCTTGATACATCTCACTGGTTTCTAATAAAGGAAGCAGCTGAATAAAACCTTCCGTCCTCCTGGTTTTGCTGTGGACAGCAAGTAGCCATGGAGCCGATGGCAGCCCCGGCTTGGCTAGGGTGCCCTCTCCCCCTGAGCAGCAGTGCCCCGCGGGAAAGGCTGTCATGATCACAGCACTGGGCAACTGTTGAAGACTCAGGGCAAGGCTGCCCCCTTTCAGGGCAAACTTGGCTCCTTTCCCCAGTCCTCTCAGGCGCCAGCGAGGAGCCAGTACTGGCCCCGCTTCACTCTGTAAGAGGAGCGGCTGGGCTCCGTGCCAGCCAGTGCCGGGCACCTTGGCCGAGGAGCAGTGCCGGGTCCACAGCTGGGAGCAGGTGGGCCCCTTCGGTCCGGGTCAGCAGCGGCTCCTCTGACTCGGCCGATGCCACGTCTTCCCTTCTGGTTCAGGGGTCTGCTGAGCCACCGGGGTGCTTTTAACACTGCAGGTCACCAGGCCCCACTGCCCACCTACTGAGCCAGCTTCTGCGGGGCCTTCCATCCCTGTTCTCTTCCCGTGGCTGCTCCCCGGCCCCTGCTCCTTTCTGGCCCCCATGGCTGGTGCCTTGGCCCTTTCCAGGGAACCTGGACCCTGAGCTGCCCGAGGACATGAGCTGCCTCCAGGGACTGCTCTCAAGCTCTGCCCTTGCTCAGTGCTAGTGCTGATGCCTGAGTCCACATTTAACCCTCGAAGGCCACCTTTCTGACAGGTTTGCTTTGGACTCTCACTCTCTCCCAGCATCGCCAGAGTAGCCTGGAGCAGCCACTGCCTCCAGCCTTCATCTCAAAGTCTGGTTGGCTGGTGGAAGGTGAGCCCCAAGTCTGGGATTTGTTTACTGAGTAGACAGAGGCCTTGAACCCCGCTGAGCCTGGAAAGTGGGGGGTCTGTCTGGGGCCCCTCCCTGCACTCTGCTGTCTGCCCACCCACCTCCACCAGCAGGCCCACCCACCAGGCCCCTCGGAGGGTTGGTGGGGCAGCGTGGGATTGTCCTCACAGTCCGCCTGCAGCCCCCCCTGGCAGTCAGACAGATCTAAGCCCTGCTGGCAAGAGGCCCAAGGGACTCTGCCCCATCCTCCTCAGGGCCCTGCGGCCTCATGTACTTGCCGTGGCGGTGATAAAGGAAGCTTGCTGCTTTATTTTTTAAAACAGTCTTGTTCTACTGCCCTCTCAGGGCTCTTCTATGTAACGAGCTAAAAACCTACTTCTCGGTCCCCAGGGCTCCCAACCTCAGCTTTCCCTTCTTGCTTTAACAAGGGAAGGGAGCTCAGGTTCAAAAGCCGGACTGAGGAGGGAGTCTTAGGGGGTGGCCAATACCTGGGTGGGGTGAGGCCGTGGCTGGACTCCTTTCAGGGGCAGAGGGGCTGAGGGTTCGTATGTCCTGCTCCCCAGGTCTCCTGGCAGTCGCAGGCCTGGCTCTTGATAAATCACAATGAAAGGTGGCCCGGCTTCTTGAGTCCTCGGCCATCTCAGGTGCAGGGAGGAGATAACGCCCCTGTTCTTTCGGAGGCACTGAGGCAGCCCAGCACCAGGCCGGCCGGGTTCACCCCTGCCCTCCACTCCAGAGGAGGCTCACCGCCGCACGCAGCTGTGTCCGCGGGGGTCAGTCGGGCCCTCGGGAGTGCTGGACTCGGATATGGACGAAGATCGTGGCTGGTGACAGTGAGGCCCCGTCCTTGGACAGCAGGTGGATGTGGCGGTACCCTGTGGGGAGGGCGGCCAGGCATCGGATTTGCTGCCCATCACCCTGCCCACATCCCCTCCCTGGGGGCTGGGCCATGCTTGGGCCTCACTCAGGAAAGGCGCTCACAAAGTCACAGCGCAGGTGAGCAGCGTCTGGGGGCCGGACCTCTCCCTTCCCATCCCCACCTACCTTGCTTCAGGCTGTTGAGAGGCAGTGTAAACTGGCCCACAAAGTCATTGGGGGACGTGGTGTCATAATCTTCTACCACAAACCGGACCAGCACCAGCTCTGGAGCCCGCAGCTGGAACTGCAGGGTCTGCCCCCAGTGGGGGTTGAAGCCTAGGGCACAAACAGGCTTGGTGGTCGGAGCCAGCTGGCCTCTGCCCTGCCCCTCCCTGCACTCTGCTGTCTGCCCACCCACCTCCACCAGCAGGCCCACCCACCATTGTTAAGCACGTAGTTGGTCTCCTTTCGAGCACAGTCCATGGGCACCCCGTAGATCTCAACACGCACCAGGGGGTCCACAATGGAGCTCGGCTTCTCGGCATTCAGCTTGGGCAGCTGCTGTGCAGTCAGCACCTGCGGGGATGAAGAGCTTCAGCCTGGCCCTGCCCGCCCTGCCCACCACGCAGTCCCCAGGCCTCCGCCATCTTCCTCCACTTCGGGCTGGTGCCCTCGGACTAGCCGGCTCTGAGCCCAGGGTAGGGCCTGGCCCAGGCTGCTAACCTGGATGGTGAGAGTAGTTCTGGGGGGTCCAGGGCTCTCGGGGTCAAAGTTTGTGTCAGGCTGCCGCAGGCAGGCAGGTTTCAGGATGTAGCCGCACTGCCCGTTGACGAGGAAGCGCCCCGCATTGAGGTCCATTTCATAGCCTGGCGTCTGGAAGTTCAGGGCCACTGTGGACACAGCGGGGTCAGGAGGGCTCTTGGTGGCCCTCTCCTCATGCTGTTTCAGGGGCCTCACTGCCCTCTCCCCCGCACAACCCTATAGGTGCAGAACCAGCTCCTCCAAAAGGCCCAGATCCGGGCAGTGCTGCTCGTACCCACCATGAGGTGGTGGGGAGGGAGTGGGTGTGTCATGGCAGCCAGGCGATCTAGACTCTATTGTCACCTCGTATCTTTTTCCTTTTTTATTGATTACAGAGAGGAATGGCGAGGGTAAGAGAGAAACATCAATGATGAGAGAGAATCATTGACCGGCTGCTTCCTGCACACCCCACACTGGGGCTCGAGCCTGAAACCCGGCATGTGCCCTGACCAGGAATCAAACCGTGAGTGACCTCCTGGTCCACATGTCGACACTCAACCACTGAGCCCCTACAGCCAGGCAGCCTGGTACCTCCTGAGGCTGGAATGTGGGCCTGAGGGGGGCATATTAGAGAAGCCTCCACCTGCAGGGCCAGGCCTGGGCCAGAGCTGAGGCCTGAGGTTTCTACACCTACCCCCTCGGGGACCACACTCCCCTCCCTTGGGCTCAGCATGGGATTGCCAGGGGTATGTGAGCATGTATGTGTCAAGGGGCACCTGGGGGTGGAGATTTCTAACTTCTACCTTCATAAAAAATGTGAGACTTTCACATTGTCAGGAACAAATGAGCCCGGCCAGTGGGGCTCAGCGGTTGAGTGTTGACCCAGGAGCCAAGAGGTCAGAGTTTGATTCCCAGTCAGGGCACATGCCTGGGTTGCTGGCTCTTTCCCCAGTGTGGGGTGTGCAGGAAGCAGCTGATCAATGATTCTCTCTTATCATTGATGTTTCTATCTCTCTCCCTCTTCCTTTCTCTCTGAAATCAATAGAAATACATTAAGAAAAGAAAAAGAACAAGCTTGATTTGTGTTTCCTCGCATACCCTGTTCACAAGTTTTTAATAAATGTTATTATCAACAAAACACTGTTTTCCATCTGGTAAGCTGTGTGGCCCCATCACTGCTGGTCCTGCTGTGACGCCCCAGAGGCCACCCCACAAAGCACCCAGCCCCCTCCCAGCTCTGCAGCCACTCACCCAGCTGACAGCCTGAGTTCCACATCTCCTGGGGGCTGTAGTTGGCCGAGTTCATCCGAAGCCCCGATGGGTAGACACGGGTCAGTTGCCGGGTATTGTGCCTGACAAAGCTGTTCCCTGGTGGGGAGTTTGGGGGTATTGTGACAAGCTCCTGGATACCCTCACCTGGTGTCAGGGGCTGTAACCCCAACTCCAGGGACAGGCTGGGAACAGAGGCTGAATTTCCATTCCCACTTCCCCTGCCCCAGCTCCTCTTCTCTGACACAGTGGGTGTGGGAACCTCATGAGGAGGTTGCTGAAGTCCAGGGAGGGGCAGGGACCGCTCCCACAGCCCTCACTGCATCCCAGCCCCAAATCCCCACATTCCTGACTCAGCACATGGAACACCTGGCCCCAGGCTGACATCCTGTGTGTCATCACTCGTCCCACACACCCTCCAGCCACACTGGCTTCCTGGAAGCCTGCCTGTGTGTCATTCCTCCAGGCCTTGGTGCAACCTGCTCCTCCTGTCTGGACACTCCTTCCCCCTCGTCGCCTGGCGGCTTCCTCCTCACCTGTCCGTCAGGTGTCTTCTCAGGCCTCACCTGCTCAGCATTCTTGCCCTGATCTCACCGCCTTGTGCTGGGCTCCTCCAGCCCCTCCCTATCCTGGCCCAGCTGATCACCCTGCATCATAGTTACCCAGCTCCGTCTGGCCCATCACTAGGCTGTGCGCTCTCTTCCCTGAGCCCTCTCCCTGCATGCCGGGCCTGGTACTGGACACTCATTCTCTGAGCCTCTCTCTGGGGTCTTCCTGACCTCTTTACCGCCCCCCAAAGCCTCTCAATCTCCTTTCCAGACCAACTTCAGGATGCTCCCCCAGGATCCTACAGGCCCCCACTGGCCGCCTGCCCCCAGACGCCAGCTATCCTGGCTCCTACCTGCCTCTCGAATGAGCTTCTTGGCCTTGCGCTCGCTGAGGGAGCTGACCTGGTAGGGCTGGGGTGGGCCGGGGGCAGGGCGCAGGGTCCGAAGGCGCGTGGCACAGCAGTACACGGCCAGGGCCGACAGTTCTGGGGAGATCTGCTTGGCCTAGGACAGCGGTCGGCAAACTCATTAGTCAACAGAGCCAAATAGCAACAGTACAACGATCAAAATTTCTTTTGAGAGCCAAATTTCTTAAGCTATATAGGTAGGTACATTGTTATTAACTTAATTAGGGTATTCCTAAGCTGGCCTTTGCTAAAAACGTCCTCAATCTGATTGAGGTACGTTCGCTGAGGTCGACCCCTTCCAACTCTCCCACCCACACTCGTATACTTGTTTCGTCTATCTCCTTTCTGAAAACCGACTTCTGCGCACGGGCCACGAAGTTTCAATCGCACTGTACATGCGCGCCCACACGTGGTATTTTGTGGAAGAGCCACACTTAAGGGGCCAAAGAGCCGCACGTGGCTCGCGAGCCGCGGTTTGCCGACCACGGGCCTAGGAGATGAGCCTCAGAGGTTCCTCTAGCTCCAGCCCCCAGCTCCTCCCTTCCCTCCCTTCGCCACCTGCCCAGCCCACCCCACTCACCTGCCGCTTCTGCTCTGCGGCCTCCACCCTCTCTTCTTCCTCCTCCTCTTCCTCCTCCTCCTCCCGGTCTGACAAGATGCGACCATCCTCGTTCCGAGCAGCTGGCAGCTTCTTGCCCTTCACCAGGACCCGGCCCTTCAGCTGCTGTAGAGACCAATATGGAAGGGTTAAGCCCTCTCACCCCTGTGTCAGCCGGTTGGTCAGTCATTCAACCACCGTGTGAGAGGCTGGCGGGGGGTGAGGAGCAGGAAAAGACACACAAAGATGAGTGGTTTCTAACAGAAAAACAAACAAAGAGGAAACAACCCAAGAGGTCATCAACGGGGGATTGGCTAATGAGGTCCCTCCAAACATCGGAATCCTACACAGCAGCCGTTAAAATGATGGCGGCAGCTCGGGATGGAAAGAGAAGCCGCTCTCCAACAAAGATCTCACCTGGAAGAAGTAGTGTAGAACACGGAATCAATGACCCTTGTGCTGTAACATTTGAAAGAGAAGAGAGCCATGGGGAGGGGTATGTATGCATGGGGAAGTTCTGGAAGGACACACAAGAAATTGCTGAAGATGCTTGCTTTGTGTGAAATAGGACAGGGTGAGCCCAAGTGGGGAAAAACCATTTTCAGTTGTATACACTGGTGTACAGTTCAGTTTTTGTTCACCATATGTATGTTATTTTCATGCTAATAAAAGATCAAACTACACACACACCAGGGTGAGTCAACATTTTTTGCATATTTGGGATAGGGAGTAGGAGGAGAGTTTTTCTCAAGGAGCCAGAAAAGAGTGCATAACCTGAGGGGGGCAGATAAAATGCTCTGGGGTTTGGAATGAGAGGAGGCAGGACCACCTCTGGCCAGAATCTGGGGGAGTTTCTAAGGCCACAGGAGGAGGCAGTTTAGGCTGCACCAGAATTGTAAGCAGGTGGCGCTGGGCAAGCCAGGTGGCTGGGAAGGGAGCCCCAGGTGGAGACGATATCAACCAAGAGCTTGGAGGTGGGACTGGCTGAGCTCGCAGGGATTCTGTGGGCCGTGAGGCAGAGCAGGGAGGTCAGGGCCAGGTCACGGAAGGCTAAATGCCAGGAGAGAGGGTGGGGTGGGTCTAGTCCAGTGGTTCTCAACCTGCTGGCCCTTTAAATACAGTTCCTCATGTTGTGACCCAACCATAAAATTATTTTCGTTGCTACTTCATAACTGTAATGTTGCTGCTGTTGTGAATCGTCATGTAAATATCTGATATGCAGGATGGTCTTAGGCGACCCCTGTGAAAGGGTCGTTCGGCCGCCAAAGGGGTCGCGACCCACAGGTTGAGAACCGCTGGTCAAAGATGGGCAGCAGGAGACTGACCAGACCACTGGGTGGCAGATGTCAGACGAAGGCAGGAGCAGGGGAAGGTTAAGGCAGAGAGCGGGGAGGGGTCCTGAACAGGGAAGTGGCATGAGCAGGGGTGGATGCTGGAGCCCAGACAGGCCCTTCCCCACCTACGCTGAGGCTCTGGGGCATCACCTCTGGGGATGGCAGCTCTTCGGGGTTCTGGGAGTCCAGCGCCTGTGTCACCAGCATGTCCCCCAGGATGGTGCGGAGGTGGCAGGCCATGACAGCCTGCTGCTCCAACCCACAGTGGTTCTCGAGGGAGAGGATGACAGGGTATGGGGACAGCTGTAGGGGAGAGGCAACAGCGCAGTCACTCACCCCTTCTTTCCTCCTCCCACCCCAACCAGAACCCCCACTACATGCAGCCCCAGCTCCTTCAGGGCAGGCAGGCCAAACCAGGGCTCTGGAGAACCCCCTGTGGGGAGGGAGGAGAGGGAGTCAGGGGGATGGGGGACACACCTGGGTGGGGCCAGCCTGTACACGAGGGACAGAGGTCAGATATGGGGCCTCGGGAAGGCGTGGACTGTCGGGGAGGCTGAGGGCAGCTGCAGGAATGGTTTTCTTTTCTTTTTTTTTTTTTTTTAAATAGATTTTATTGATTTTTTACAGAGAGGAAGGGAGAGAGATAGAGAGCTAGAAACATAGATGAGAGGGGATGTGCCCGCAACCCAGGTACATGCCCTTGACCGGAATCGAACTCGGGACCCTTGAGTGGTTTTCTTTTATAAATGCTCTTTATATGTTAATGACATTGACCATGTCATTAGTATGCAAACTCCCCCTCCCCCTTCGTCATTTGTTGGTGGTAAGATTTGTGTAGCTTGACTGAAATTGCAGTTTTATGTAGACACCATAGTATGCTAAGCTTCTCTCTCTCTCTCTCTCTCTCTCTCTCTCTCTCTAGCTTCTCTTTATGGCTTACTCTTTGGCAACAATTATTAAAATGTCCTTCCCTCCCGCAAGGTTTTCTCCTGGAAATCCTGAGATTTTAATACATTTACTAAATGTGAGGGTGGGAGAAGGAAGCCCCTCATTCAGCTTTATTCTACCCCACTGGCCGCTGTCCCAGCCGCACCTGGGCAGGGAGTGATTCTCTGGGCAGGGGTTTCTTTCGGGAGGACTGAGGGGGGCTGGGCTCACCGTGAAGGCGTGGTCACGCACGGCCTGGACCACATCTCGGAAGAGGATCTTGGAGGTGAGCGTGTGGCCATGGTAGATGACGGGCTCCCCTCCTGGCCCCTCCCAGCAGTCCAGCTCCACACAGCGGCATCCCTGCGCGAAGGCTCTGTGGACAGACAGGCACGGTGTCATGTGGGTGGCACAGATCAGCGAAACAGACAGGTGGGCCCCAGGAAGCCCACAGTGGGAGCTGAGCCCCATTTCCCCGCCAAACGGGGCTTCTAGAAGGGTTCGCTGCCACCCTCCCTCCACGGGTACCTAACGTAGGCCTCCGTGCTGCTGAGCCCCCCAATCTGGGAGTCGGTCAGGTAGGTATTGTGGGAGGAGGAGATAAAATAGTGGGAGAGGGGCTGGTCCATGTCCTGGAACATGCACGTGTGGGCCGGGTTCAGGGCGTCCCCCTCTGGTGACAACAGGTACATCATGAAGCCATCCAGTGTCATCAGCTCGTGCTGCTTGGCTGCAGGGAGGGGCAGAAGACAGCATCAGGACACACAGGGGACCCCCTGTCCAGCCCCAAATGCTCCAAAGCTCACTCCACTTAGTACTGATGAGCACCTGTCTACCGACTGGACTCGACAACATTACGCCAAACCCTACGAGGAAGGTACGTTACTCTGTCACGCTACAGATGTGGCAGCTGAGTGCGGAATTGGCGAGATCACCTACTCAGGATGGCACCACAGCCAGGAACAGCAGAGCCCCCTTATCTGGGAACCCAGGTCTATCCGACACCACGACCTGGGCTGCGTCGGCCCCAGCCCCTCGGTCAGACCCCCACCTGTCTCGTTGAGCTCGTAGGTCTGGATGAGCTGCTGGGCGTGGGCCAGCGTGGCGCCGTCCTCGCCCTGGTCCTCCAGGAACTCCAGCAGCTCGGGGGCGCTCAGCACCCGGTCCTCGCCCGAGTACCGACGGAAGATCTCCTCCAGCTCCGGGCGCTTCAGCAGGCGCCGCAGAAACTCCTCAATCTCGGTCCCCTCCAGCCGCTCGTTGTCGGAGTGGTCACACTCCTAGAAAGCAGAGGGAGGGACTCAGGAGAGGGGACGCCTGGGGAAGCTGGCCGCACTGACACACCCAGCATCTACCATGGCCGGGAAAGCAGACGTCTCCCATTCACAGGGAGAGAAACAGCTAGTGAGGCTCCGGCCTCGCTCAAGGGCACAGCTGGTGGCCTGCAGGGCTGAGATGCCCGGGAAGATCTCTCGGGTGCCGGGCCTGTCACTCGGATGACCTGCCCTAGGAATCAAGATGTGGGAGGAGCCCTGTTGGTGTGGCTCAGGGGTGGAGGTTCGACCTATGAACCAGGAGGTCTCAGTTCAGGGCACATGCCCCGGTTGCGGACTCAATCCCCACTAGGGGGCGTGCAGGAGGTGGGCGATCAATGAGTCTCATCATTGATGTTTCTATTTCTCTCCCTCTCCCTTCCTCTTTGAAATCAATAAAAATATATACTAAAAAAGATAAAATAAAAGATGTGGGAGGAAAACCAGTGTCCCTGGGGCAGGACTGGGCTGCTGTGCTACACTCCCCTCCTAGTCATTACCATCCTCAGATTCCCACGCTCACACCCAGGGTCGGTGAGCAGCACAGAACTGAGGGTCCACACGGAGCTGTCGGGAGGGGCACAGCTGCCGTGGTCCTGTCGATCAGTGTCACAGGCTGGACAGTCAGCAGCATCCACACAGGGGTCTGCCATGCGCTCTGACTGGGCCGTGGATGCAGAGCCCAGCCCCGTGTGCCCCCGATTGTGCTCCCACAGGTGTGGAGGCGCCACACACACCACAGTGGAGGAGGGTGTGCACTTGGACCCGTGAGCTGATTCCTCCCTTTGCTCCTGATTGCAAACCACACAGGTCACCTGGGCAAAGGGTTTTAAAGAAACGAAAACTACAGCTTCGATGCTCACTAGGGAGTGGCGGGCGGCCCAAGATCCTCCCTACCCCTGGGGTCTGCCTGATGGGGAGGAGAAGCTCTGGGCCCATAGCCTCGGGGGAGGGTATGAAGGGAAGTAGACCCAGGTGTGGCCTTTCTGATGCAAGAGGCCCCTGTCGCCACCAAAGCTGGATGGAAAGGAAAACAGCCGACTCTAATGGTCAGGGGAGGACAGAGAGCAGAGGTCAGAGAGGTGGCAGGGGCCCACCTTGAAGAGGCGGTAGGCGTACATGTCATTCATGTCCACGTTGACCATTCTGAGCAGGCTCTTGATCTCCTTGAAGCTCATCTTACTGTCCTGGTTGGAGTCCGCCCGGTGCAGATAGGAGTGGATCCAGGTGTGGGTGCTCAGGAAATACCAGCAACAGCTGGGACCACCCCCCGCTGGCAGGTGACTGACAGGTTTGTCACCATCGCCTGGCTTGGGGGCTCCCCAGTGTCCCCAGTGGCCTGTGGGCTCCCTGAGCACAGCAGCGGGCTGTCCTCCATGGGACTGGGCTCCCCAGAGCCAGGAGGCCATGTCCCCACTCCTAGTTTTTTGTTTTTTTTAAATATATTCCATTGATTTTCCACAGAGAGAAAGGGAGAGAGAGAGAGAGACAGAAACATCGATGAGAGAGAAAGATCCATCAGCTGCCTCCTGCACATCTCCCACTGGGGATGTGCCCGCAACCCAGGTACATGCCCTTGACCGGAATCGAACCTGGGACCCCTCAGTCCGCAGGCTGACCTCTATCCACTGAGCCAAACCGGTTTCGGCTACTCTCAGTTTTTAAGACAAGGGGCTCGGGGCTCAGGTTCAGACTGGGGACCCCCGAAGGACAGGGCCACCTCCCCCAGCCTGGGGTTCTCCAGGGACAGGGCCCGCCTCCCCCCACCCCACCCCGACTCCACCCCCCCCCCCCCCCCGCATCAGCCCCTGGGGCAGGATATTGATCCAGGCGCTCGCGCTGGCTCATGGCCTCCAGGCGCGCGCGCAGCTTGGCCAAGCCGCGCACCCAGCGCTGCGCCTCCTCGGCGGTGGGTGCCGCCAGGTCCAGGTTCTTCCTGCGGCCCTTGAAGGCGATGGTGAGGCAGCGCGCCGGGGCGAAGGCTCCCCCGAAGCGCCGCAGGCCCTCGGACTGATGGCCCTCGCGGACGGCCTCGATGTGCTGCACGAAGACTGCGCGGGGGGATGCCCAGCGCGGCCGGGTCAGCGGCGGGGGAACTGCCCGGCCCCGCCCGGCCCTGGCCCCCCCGGGCCGCCCGCCCCGACTCACAGATGTGCTGCGACGGAGCGTGCGGGATGCGCCGCTGGAACCACACGGTCAGGCCGTCCTCCTGCAGCCGGTACAGCCGCTCCTTCTGCCACGTCCGCGAGCGGATCTTGCAGAGGCGGGAGCCTCGAAGCATGGCGCGCACGTCCTCATCCTCCGTCAGGCCTGCGGGGCGGGAGGCCGGGGTGCACTAGAGCCTCGCCCCACCCGGACCTCCTTCCTCCCTGCTCCCAGCGAGAGCTGTGGCCTCCCTCTCTGAGCCTCTCCAAACCCACACAGGCCTCTCCCTGCCGAGCGGAACATGCCCCAGATACTGGGTTTGACTTGAGGCTTGGAGTGCCTCGCCCAGGCCCCCCTGGGAGGGGTGCCAGTAACTGGCCCTTCCTCCCCACCAGGCAGTGGTCTCTGGAGGCCCTGGAGCAGAACAGCCCGCCCCGCCCGCCCCCCCTCGCCCCCCCTAGGATAAGGGACTCAGGCCTCCCTGTCACCCCTCGGCCACTCTCCTCCATCAAGCCCTCCAGCCTTCGAGTCCAGAACCTGTCACCTGCAGCCTTTTCACTTATTGGAAACCCTGACCATTGGAAAGCCACCTCACTATCTAACCTAAATCTCCTCTTGCTGCAACCCAAGCTCCTCACCTCTGCTTTCCCGACCAGGGAGGACCCAGAGGCCACTCTGGCTCTGGGGTCACAGACCAAGGCTTCCAGGGCCTGCCTGGCTAAGAGGAGGCTGATCTCCTGGCATCTGTGTGCCCTGGTGGGGCCCCGCTGAAGGCATGGTCTCCTGTGATGTCTGGCATTTGCCCAGTCTCTATGACAACCCCATGTCACCCCTCGGCCCACAGGTCCTCTCCCATTAGTGTCCACCTTCCCTGTAAGTGTTAGGGGCAAAAATAGAATATTGGGGACTAGCTATGGTTGTGGGAAATACTAATCATGCCCTGTTAGCCGTGACTGCCTTGTTCTGGTTAAAGGGCATTCTAACCTGGCTGGGAGCTGTACACACACACACACACACACACACACACACACACCTGGGGAACCTGGGAGTCAACCTTGGACCTGGGAGTCAACCTCGGAATGGGGTCCATTCTCATTCAAGAACTGCCTGTTATCGTGCCAAGATTAACAACCTTGTTGCCCAAACAAACAAAGGAGTCCCACCCCAGACTGCATAGGCGACTTCCCCCGGCCTGTAATCCCTACTTCCCTATGTAATCTCTGTCTTCCTGCCCCATATAAACAGCTGGCTTATGGGAGGGGGGTGGGTTGCAGAGCAGATGTTTGTGGACGGCCTGCTGCTCTCCCATGTTGTTGGCGTTATTGGAATAAATGTTCTTATGTGATTCAACCCTGTCCTGTCTCCGCTGAGCTGGCTCAAGTAGTGACAGGCAGCCTGGACACCTTGGTTGTCTGGTTTCATTAAAACAAAATGCGTACAAAGCACCTGCTGCACACACTCCCGACCCTGCTCATGTCCTAACACACAAGGAAACAAGCTTCAGTCACCGGCCAGAACGCCGCCCCCTCACCCCCCACCCCCACTGGCCGGAATTCTAAGGAAGTGGTGGAAATATGTGCCCTTGGCTATAAACTGAACTTTTCGGCTCCTATCCTCCTCCTTCCTCCCCCGCCCCCACCAATACCTGGGCACGGGAGGTAGGAGAGAGCAGAATTTAATTAGTTGTTTATTTTATATTCAATTTATTTTAACTAAAGAAAAGTTCGCCCATTTCTCCTACCCCTGCTCTCAGCAGCATGTTCTCCGTGCATAAAATGGAAATGGCAGTAGTACCTGCTGACAACCCAAAATCCAGCCAAGATGCTGCCCATGCTGGTGGTGCCACACCCTGCCTGCTTGGATCCCCTCAGCAGGGGTCAAAACCAGAGACTGAAGAGCCCGGGGACAATGGAAGGGGTGGGAGCTGGACAAACAGTAGGGCCACGCCCTCTGGAAAGGAGGGGTCCAGCCAGAGGTGGACGAGGGCCCAGTTTCCAGAGAACCGGAATCTGGATTTGCATGTGAATCCTCCAGATTTTCCAATGTTGGCAACTAAATCAAATTGAAGCAAACAAACAAAAACCCCAAAATACTACCATGTGGGCCAAAGGAAACAGGACTGTGGGCTTCTCTTCCTCCCTCTATTTCACTTAACAAGCCCCCAAAGCCGGGTTTGGCTTTGGGCTTTGTGGGCCCAGGCCCCTGCCTGCCCCCCTGCAAACTCTGACCTAAGGAATCAAGTTGAAATCTCTGGGCTTCCTCTCTCACTCTCTCCTGGAGCCTTTGTACTGTCCTTTTCCTTCCTCTTCCTCATTCCAGAATCCTTCAAGGTCCAGCTCAGACATGACCTCCTCTGGAACGTCTTCCATAATTTGTCCTCAAGTGGGAGTTCTCCCTCCCTGATCACCAACGTTTTACTTTAATTAAAACAAACAGACGTCCACCTAATGGCAATCTCCGTGGACTTCCGTGAACCCAAGGGCAGGGATGAGACCAGTCTCCTAACCCCAGTGCTTGTCCTAGAGCCAGATTAGCAGGCATTTTTCTGAAAGGGGAGGCGGATGGACAGACAGCGCTACCTCCAGCCCGGCCTCTTCCACCCCGAGTTCAGAGCAGAGGCCTGTGGGTCTGGGTTTCTCAATCCTGGCTGTGCACCAGTACCACCTGCGTGAGGTTGCAAAACCCGTGGCCCAGCGATTCTCATCAAGCAGGTGTAGGCTGGAGCCTAGGCATCTGTGTGTTTAACAACCTACCCTGTGACTTTGAGGGCAACCGTGATTGAGAATCAGGGCATCAGAGGCAGGAGGAGAAGTCTGCCATCCTTAGGAGGCGAAGGTCCCCCTGGAGGCCAGCCCTGTGGCCCGAATGGCTCCACGATGTTTCTCAGGGTTTCCAGGGGTGGGCAAACTTTTTGACTCGAGGGCCACAATGGGTTCTTAAACTGGACTCAGAAGAAGGAGCTGCGGCCGTGTTTCCCGACGTTGCCACGTTAACACGGCTGCTGGTGAAGGAGCGGAGGGGAGAGCAAGAGAACCCTCCGCTCTTTCGGCTCCGCGGGCCGGATAGAACAGCCGAACGGGCTGGATCCGGCCCGCGGGCCGTAGTTTGCCCACGGCTGGTTTAGACTGTGGCCCTCTGGAAGGGGCAGTGCCCACTCGGTGCCCCCTAGGCTGGAAGGAGAGGTGGAAGGTAGCATGGGCCAGGCCAAGAGACTCACCAGACCCTCAGACCCCTATTTCCACATCTGGGCAACCTATGAATTCTCTCATCCTGAGAAACAACGGGGTAGGTACAGGGCAGTCAGGGAAACCGGCAGGGCCACCCCAACTGAGCCCACCCCTCCTCCACCTGCTCCGCTGTGGGAAAGGCCCTGCAGTCAGTCCCACGTCTGCCAGACTCTGCAGATGCGGCCACCTCCCCTGATCTGGCCAGCCCTCCGATGCCAAGTCCATGGTTGGGGGGTGGGGTGGGGTGGGGTGGAGAGGAGGGGGTAGTGAATGACTAAGGCCGGAAATGGAGGTGAGTCATGCAGGGCCTGCTTTGTCCAGTCTTCTGCAAACAGGACAGGGCGACAGGCAGCCTGGACTCTTGACCAGCCTCCCACTGGGACAGGTTCCCATGCTGAGGGGGCCCCTGCTCCTGGCCCTCATCCCCAGCTCCCCATGAACCTGTTGTGGGACGGGGTGACATTCCAGTCTGTCCACCCAACTGGTACTGGCCCCTGGGTCACACTATCCCCCAGCCACACACCCAGTGGAAAAGCCAAAAAGAATGAGGGAGCAGGGCCAGGCTGGGCCGGGGCTGAGTTCTTGGGTGGGTGCCTCTGTCTCCCCATTGCTGAACCCTGGGGTAGTGAGGGGTCTGGGGTGTCAGACAGGAGGAGCAGGACCAACAGAAGTAAAGGGCTGAGGTCAGGAAGCGTCCCCAGGCCCTGGGCAGAGATGCTGGGAGGAGCCTGGCTCTCTAGGCAGCTACCCAGTAACATTTATAGGTCCGGCCAAGCCCAAACCTACAGGTGTTTCACCCACCACATTCCTACCTGCTCAGAGCAGGCGCACAAGCTGCCTGCCTTCTGCGTTTTTGGTGGTTCTCTATCTATCCACTCTGCCTTCAAGCTGAGCTGGGCAGCACCTTGGCTACCTCGACTGAGCAGGTAGGGGAATAATCATGAAATAATAGCAGTAAAAACAAGGACAAACAATAAATAGCCAAAAGGTGGGAAGGACCCAGGTGGCCACTGACAGATTCATAGATAAGCTGTGTGGTCATGGGCATGTAGACAGAAGGGTAAGACGCAGAGAACAGGGTGTGTGTGACAGGAGTGCTAGGTCTCCAGTGAGGGTGTGTGTAGGTGATGTGTACATACAGGGTGTGTGCACTGGTGTGTGTGTGTGTGTGTGTGTGGGTGTGGGTGTGGGTAGGGGGGTGGTGTATGGGGTTGGTGGGAAGGAGGAAGGTGGATCAGCTTGGGGAGGAAAATAGGCAACGTGTGTGTGTGCGTGTGCGCCAGTGCACACTCAGGAGGGCACATGGGCTCCAGAGGAATGTGAGACATGCAGGGAACAGTGACAGCCGACAGCTCCATGCCAATGGGGGAGGGGGCAGAGGGCAGCTTTCCCTGATGGCTGGGGTCGTGAGGCTCTGGGAGGGGACACACAACTGGCAAGGGTTCCCAAACACCTTCTGCCTGAATCCTCTAGCCAGCAGGCAGCCCCCCAGCACCCCAAAGACCAAACATGTTCCCCCTTGTCCCCACTGGCTGCCACACCCAGGGCTGGAGCCCAGCAGAGCTCCGAGCCAGAGTCCATAACATTCCTTGGAGAATCAACAAAGTCAGGAAAGGCAGGAGTGCTTCCCCTGCCCTGGGCGGGACCCAGTGAGGTGAAGGTGGCAGCACCCTTCCTGGCAGAACAGCCATGAAGCCTGTGCAAGGGCACAGGTTGTGGGAGGTCACTCCCCAGAGCTGAAGAAGGAGAGGGGGGCACAAGGCACAGCAGCCAGACACCTCCCTCCCCCCATCCTGCCTGGCATGCTCCTGCTTAGCCAGGAGGGCTGCCCTCCCCTCCCCACCACCAGGCCAGGCACCTGCCAGCACTGGGTGCCACTCTGAAGACCCCCACCCAGGGAGCCCCACTCACCCCACAGGGGACATCCTTGGCAGGCCATCGGCAGAGCGTCTTGCCCCGTGGCACCTGGTGGTGTGTGCAGGCTGAGGAGGGCAGGGAGCCGGATTCTGCCCACTCAGTGCTCTGCTCACTGGGCGGATTAGGGACAGGGTGGAGCATTAAAGGCACAGAGTCAGACAGGGGCTCTGGGGAGACGGGGTTGTCAGATAAAATTCAGGGTGCCCAGTTAAAGTTGAAATTCAAATAAACAACAATTAATTCGGGCCAACTTATACTAAAATATCACTTGTTGTTTCTATGAAATTCCCATTTAACCGGGCATCCTGCAGTTTATTTGGCAAGCCTGTGAGGGCGCCCCTGGAAATTGCCAGGGCCCCTGAGAGGGAAAGTCACTCATTGGTTGAGCTCTGAGTTCGGACTCTCAGCCAGGCTGCCTGTGCTCACGTCCTCTCTCAGCTGCTTCCTAGCTTTGAACCTCCCGGACCTCAGCTTCTTCATTTGCAAGATGAGGCTCAGTACCGTCCACCTCATATGACTGTGAGCATTCAGTGAGCTATGTGAAACGCCGGGGCACACTGTTAGACAGGTGTTAGTTAGCATCCATTCATTCTGGCAAGAAAGATCCATCACGCCAGAACTGGTTTGGCTCAGTGGATAGAGCGTCGGCCTGCGGACTGAAGGGTCCCAGGTTCGATTCCAGTCAAAGGTATGTACCTTGGTTGCGGGCACATCCCCAGTGGGGGGCGTGCAGAAGGCAGCTGATCGATGTTTCTCTCTCATCGATGTTTCTGGCTCTCTATCCCTCTCCCTTCTTCTCTGTAGAAAATCAATAAAATATATTAAAAAATAAAAATTAAAAAAAATCCATCACTAAAAACCAGCCTTTGGCAGCAGGCGGGCAGAGGCTGTGTGGACTCCGGCCGGTGACCTCACCCCCGTCCCCTGGCGTTTCTCATCTGTAATAGAGGACAGCAGCACCTTCCCCTCCGCAGCTCCGGGATTAAATAGGATCTGGGCTCATGCAGGCTCAGCCCTGTGACTGGCCCATCAGGTGCTCACTGGGCTCCTCTCCTCACTCTTCAACTATTCCCTGGCTTCCTGGAGGCAGGCCAAGCCGGCAGCCATCCCGGGGCAGGGACAGTGGGTGGCTGCTCCTCTCTCCTCTCCCTCGTCCTGGCCCCCCTCCCCCACCTTGGTCAGAAAGGCCCTTTCTTTTCCTTGGGCCCCTCTGAGCCTTTGACTTCTGAGCCACTCCCTGCTCTGAACTCTCTCTTGACCTGATCTAAAATAAAATCTGTTCTCTGTGAACATAAGGGGTGTGGCCATGGCCTAGATGGCCGGCTCAGGACGACCCTGAGGGTGTGGACAGCCTGAGGGGCTGGACCCGGGACACCTGGGTTTCTTCTCCACCCTGTGGGCATTCCCCTCACACGGGCATTCCTCTCCGCAGTGGCTCAGCAGGACAAGGCAGTGGGGAGGAGGAAGGGCAGCCAGATGACATTCTGACACCCACATGGTTCCTGAGTGTCACTGTGACGAGTGCCCGTGCAGCCTTACTCAGCCTGGGCTCAGCTGTAATTACGTGTCCACAAGTGTCTGCCACTAAGCTGTGCGCTCCCTGAGGGTCAGGCACGGTGTTATTCATCTCCATAGCCCTAGCCCGGCACACAGATCGGGCTGAGCAAACGTATGTGGCGTGAAGAGGCAGACAGGTGTGCAGGGCATCACCTCTGCTTCCCACCACATCCAGAACCCCTGTGAGTGGCGGACTCCTTTGGCTGTCTCAGTGGCACCTCAACTCCCACAGCGCTCCCCCTCTCCCCAAACCACCCCTGCTCCTTAGCCCAGAGAATGAATAACACTGTCGCCCACCAGGGACACCTTTCCAATCTCACCGACTGCAGAGTCCAGCCCCGTCTACACCCTAGGACAGTGGTTCTCAACCTTCCTAATGCCACGACCTTTTAATGCAGTTCCTCATGTTGTGGTGACCTCCAACCATAAAATTATTTTCGTTGCTACTTCATAACTATAATTTTGCTACTGTTATGAATTACTGTTATGTAATGTAAATATCTGATGTGCAGGATGTATTTTCATTGTTACAAATTGAACATAATTAAAGCATAGTGATGAATCACAAAAACAATATGTAATTATGTATGTGTTTTCCGATGGTCTTAGGCCAGTGGTTCTCAACCTTCCTAATGCAGCGACCCTTTAATACAGTTCCTCATGTTGTGGTGACCCACAATTTCATTGTTACAAATTGAACATAATTAAAGCATAGTGATGAATCACAAAAACAATATGTAATTATATATGTGTTTTCCGATGGTCTTAGGTGACCCCTGTGAAAGGGTCGTTCGACCCCCAAAGGGGTCACGACCCACAGGTTGAGAACCGCTGCCCTAGGCAGTTCCGGAATCCCTCTCTACTACCCCAGCCCAAGTCTGTCTGCCCAACTGACCCCTCAGCCTCTCTCCTATGAGTCTCCCTTCATCCGACCCAACCCTACTTGGCACAACTCCTGCGCTCCAGAGAAAGTCCCTAATCTGTAAGGAGGGGCCTTGAAGATCTGGCCCTACCTGCCTCTCCCCTTTCCTCGCTGGTCTCTGGCCCTCGCTGGCTGCCCAGCACCTCCTTTGTCCCCGCCCTTCCTAGTCTTGCTTCTTTGCTTCACTGTCTGACCTCCTTCCTGATGCTCAGCTCTCCAAGGGCCAGGACGGTGTCTGTCCTATTCGTTGCTGAATTCCCAGGACACAGCATGCTACAGGCACTCGATGAGTGTTTGGTGAACGCATGCATGATTGATGGAGGGAGGGCAGAGATCATGTTTTATGTCCGCATAAGGAGGCTGCCAGGCAAGTTGCTCAGAACATAGTGCTCAATAAATTCAGGTCAAATGAGTGAGAGGAGGTAGAAGTAAGAACAAGGGGGGTGGGGGGTAGGGAACAGTGGCAAAGAGGAAGCAAGACTGGCAACTGGGACCCGGAATTCTGCTCCGAGATTCACACAGGTCTCCTGGGCAGCCCTGCCCGTCCGTCCCCTCAACCCCGCACCCGATCTCGCCATCGTGAACTGTTCTGCCAACAGCAGTTCCCACCATACACCAGTTTCGCAGCACTTGACACTTTACAAAATTCTCCCACACAAACAGCCCTGTTTTTCAAGCCACTCAACCACCTAGCCAGTGGTTCCCAACCTTCTGGCCCTTTAAATACAGGGTGAAAGGGTCATTTGACCGTTTAGGCCAGGGGTCCTCAAACTATGGCCCGCGGGCCACATGCAAATACAAATATTGTATTTGTTCCCGTTTTGTTTTTTTACTTCAAAATAAGATATGTGCAGTGTGCATAGGAATTTGTTCATAGTTTTTTTTTAAACTATAGTCCGGCCCTCCAACGGTCTGAGGGACAGTGAACTGGCCCCGTTTAAAAAGTTTGAGGACCCCTGGTTCAGGCAGTCCTGCTTTGCCGGACTCTGAGGTGCGGGCGGCGATGCGGTGAAGCACAGCCTGCATGCCAGCCTGTGCCTTTACCACCGGTGTGGTCACCGACACATTCCTCGACTTTCCAACCTGTGGAATGGGGACTGTCCCACCTGCCTGTCAGGAAGGTGAGGACTGAGTGACACCGGGCCTGTAACGACCGGGGCTGCGGGTCTCCGAGATGCTTAAGGGGTCACCCTTACAGTCCCTTCGCCCAGGGAACCCCCACATCTGGGTGGGGGTCTGGCTTTCTGATCCTGAAGACAGTTCTCCCAGTGAGACAGCCCTACAGAGTCCTATTGCTGCTGCAACCCCGGGGGCTCTAGGCTGGGGGGCTGGCCTGAGCGGCCGGTGTCTTCCCACCCTCAGGCCCTGCTCAGGGCTGCCCTGAAAGGCACGGGGTGCTGGCAGGCTGGGTGAAGGACGCCCCAAGTCTGTCTCCCACTCCACTCCCCGGACTCTCAGGGGACCCCCCCATCCACACCCCTCGCCCAAACTCCCCTCCAGCACGCCCCGCGGGCGCCTCCTGGTGGGAAACAAAGGCGTCCTGGGCGCCAAGCTCCGGCCGGGGACCTCGGTGCCGCAGGTGCGACCCCCGCCGGAACCGGGCTGGTCCCACACGTCGCCAAGCTCCCCCGCAGCCGGGGAGCCCACTACCGGCTCCCGGAACACCCGGCCTCCCGGGTGCGCCCCGGGGACGGCCCGCGCCCCCCGCACGCCCCCCGCGCGCCCCCCGCCGTGCCCCCCGCGCGCCCCGCCGGTCACTGACCCATCTTCTTCAGCGCCCGCAGCCCGGGCCTCCGGGCGCCGCCGTCCTGGAGAGCGGGCGGGGGCGGGAGCGCGACAGTCGCGGCGACCTGGGCCGGCACCGGGGGCTCCCGGCGCCGGCGGCTCCCCCAGCGGCCACACAGCATGTCGGGGGGGTCTCGGGGGGGGGGCCGGGGCCGGGCCCGGTCTGCGCGCGGGGACAGGGCCGGGGGGCGCCGCTCTGGCCCGGCCCCGGCTCTGCGCGGTCCCAGCGGAGAACTTAGCGGCGCCGGGAGCGAGTCGGGAGGAGTAAGTGTCGGAGGAGGGAGGAAGGGACGAGGTTCGGGAAGGAGGGACTCGGGAAGGAGGGGCGCGGAGGGGGCGGGGCCGGCGGGAGTGGGGCCCGCCCCGAGGTAAGGGGAGGGGGCCCCCCCCGTTCGTGGGTCCCTATTCGCCCAGCGATCCCCGGGTCCCCGCCCCGTCAGCAGCCTGAGCCTCCGGAGGGCACCGGAGGGGCGAGGGCTGCGCTCCAGCGCCAGCACCTTCCCCGGACCCCGAGCTCAGCGCGGACCCCGGGCCCCTCCTCCCGCTCCCTCTCCAGCCCCGCCGGAGGGCTCGGATGAGAGCCAGGCCGGGGGCGGGGCTGCAGGGCGGCTCCTCCCGGGCCGGGGGTACCGGGCCCCTTAAAGCCGAGGGGGCCCGGGCGCTGAGCTGCTGGCAGGGCAGCCGAACCCGAGGAGCGGGGGAGCGGGAAGGGGGGGGCTCACAGGGTTACCCCTCCCGCACCGGCCCGGGCAGACCCCTCAGTTGTAGAAGCTCGAAGCTGATGGTCTGGAGAGGAGGGGGTGCCCCCTAGACTGCGGCTGCCGGCAGGACGAGGTTCTGGGGTTCGAGGCTTGGCCAGCTGGCCCCGCACCTGCTTGATCGCCCCGGAACGGCCCCTGCACGCTGCGTCGATGTCACTCCCGACCCCAGCCCGCGAGTGAGCGTGGAGTGCGGTTCCGGTGTCCTGCGTGACACTTACTATACGGACACCCACCTGCGTGTTTGCTCCTAAGAGTGGGAGGGACCGTGACTGCAGGAGGGCACGCCGTCTGCTCCCGGTGCCCAGGTGGGGCGAGGAGCTGGTCGCACGCCGCCGCGCGGCCGGTGCGCGCCATCAGGACCTCGATTGGCCAGCTCCTTGCCCCAGGCTCTCCCCCATTCTCAGTTTCCTCGACTCGGAGGTTCCCCCTTCTGGGTTGGGTCCTCACCCCTTTCTGGATATTCTTTCTGAATGTCACGTCTTCACTTCTGCACTTTTTTCCACCTCACTTCTGTACTTTTGATCCTGCAATTTCTTCCTCCAAAATGACCTTCCTCATTCTTTTCCTGGCTTTCCACCCTTTTTAAAATTTGATTTGAGGGAGAGAGAGAAATTGTTGTTCCACTTATTTATACAATCATTGGTTGATTTTTTTTTAATCCTCACCGGAGGATATTTTTTCCATTGACTTTTTGAGCGTGTGGAAGGGAGGGGGGAGAGAGAAAGAGAGAGAGAGAGAGAGAGAGAGAGAGAGAGAGAGAGAAGAGAAATATTGACCTGAGAAAGACACATTGACTGGTTGCCTCCCCAACGTGCCCTGACTGGGCTGGGGACCAAACCTGCAACCGAGGTACCAAACTGTCCGCGGGCCGACGCTCTAACCACTGAGCAAAACCAGCTAGGTCCATTGGTTAATTCTTAGATGTGCGCTGAAGGCATTGGCGTATGGGGAGGAAGCTCTAACCAACTGAACAACGCGGCCAGGGCTCCTGGCTTAGTCCTAAACCTTCCACAGCTCAGTTCCGATGCCCCTCCTCCAGAACACCTTACCCCAGACATGACTCCCTAGTTTATTATTTTTTAAAAAATATATTTTATTGCCGAAACCGGTTTGGCTCAGTGGATAGAGCGTCAGCCTGCGGACTGAAAGGTCCCAGGTTCGATTCCGGTCAAGGGCATGTACCTGGGTTGTGGGCACATCCCCAGTGGGAGATGTGCAGGAGGCAGTTGATCGATGTTTCTCTCTCATCGATGTTTCTAACTCTCTATCTCTCTCCCTTCCTCTCTGTAAAAAATCAATAAAATATATTTTTTTAAAAAAATAAAATATATATATATATTTTATTGATTTTTTACAGAGAGGAAGGGAGAGAGATAGAGAGTTAGAAACATCGATGAGAGAGAAAAAAAAGGAGACATATGTAATACTTTTTGTAATGCTTTAAGCAATAAAAAAAAAAGAAACAACAATGAGAGAGAAACATCAATCAGCTGCCTCCTGCACATCTCCCACTGGGGATGTGCCCACAACCAAGGTACATGCCCTTGACCGGAATCGAACCCGGGACCCTTCAGTCCGCAGGCCTACGCTCCATCCACTGAGCCAAACCAGTTTCGGCTTTTATTATTTTCTTTTAAATGTTTGTATTGATTTTAGAGGGGAATAGAGAGGGACAGAAACATCAACATTGATCGGTTGCCTCGCCTACGCGCCCCGACTGGAACTGAACCCACAACCTGGCCAATTGAGCCACACTGGCCAGGGTATGACTCCCTATTTTTTTAAAATATATTTTTATTGATTTCAGAGAGGAAGGGGAGAGATAGAAACATCAATGATGAGAGAGAATTATTGATTGGTTGCCTCCTGCACGCCCCCTATCAGGGATCAAGCCCACAACCCTGGCATGTTCCCTTGACTGGAATCGAACCTGGGAACCTTGAGTCCGCAGGCCGACGCTCTATCCACTGGGCCAAACCAGCCGGGGCATGGCTCCCTCTTTTATCTGCAGTGGCTGTCAGGTGTCTGAAGAGACTTGGGCTGAGCTGACAGACGCTGGTCTCCACCAGGGGGCGAGAGTGCTCCGTGTTATTTCACTATGTCCACCAGGAGGCGCTTCCGCCCCTCTCCGGCAGTCCTGGACAGGGAAGCCGACCCCGGATCCACCCCGCCCGCTCGGGAGAGGCACAGCTATTTGCATACTCTTGAAAGGGGTGCGCTGAGTGGCTAGAGTATAGAAGCCAAATTTGAAACGGGCTCTCTCATTGGCTCCAATTCCACCTCGCTCAGTGTCTCCATTCGGGCCCGCCGGGCCGGGAGGTCAGTAGGAAGCCCTCGGCTAGTGGCGAGAGGACCCAGGTGTCCGGGCAGGGGTCTCCGCGGGGTGAGTGTCAGGCTGCCGGGCCGGGGTGCGGGGGCCCGGGGGGAGGGCCGCTCGCCTGCCTGACTCCTCTTGGCTTGCCCATCGCCTGCCTAGGAGTTGTAGATGCGCATCTAAAGGGGTCCTGCGACCCTAACCACCTGCCTCTCCATCCACCCACCGCGGTCCTCTCCACCTACCCCAGCCGCCCCTACCCTGCTTGGGGTAGGAAAGGGCTCTCTGCAGCCACAGCTTCTGACCTCCTCGGGTATCTCGCTCAGGTCTCTAAAAGAGCTTAGTTTGCCCCTCTGGAAAGTGAATCAGAGTGGTTTGTCGAGGTGTGTGCCGGGGTGGCCCCTGGAGGCCTGCTCCCACGGAGGCTTGTTCTTGCAGAGTTGCGCAAAAGTAGGGTCCCAGGGCTCAGAGCAGCTGGAGATGGGTACCGAGAAAGAAATCCCGGAACCGGACTGCCAGAAACAGTTCCAGGCCGCAGTCAGAGTCATTCAGAACCTGCCTAAGAACAACAGTGAGTGAGGGCCGGGGACCTGCATTTGGGGGTCAAGATGGCAGGGGTCTGCCTCCCAGGAGACTCTCTGATCCCTTTAGTTTCTGCAGACGAGTCTCTGCCTGGGTCACCCGATGGGTCCCCTCTACCTCCTGCCCCTGTAGACCACCATCTCTGCCTTCTCCTAGGGTAGTTCCCCCCAGCCTCCATCCTCTTGGAGCTGGGGGGTGATGCTCTGCTCTCCAATCCCCAACTTCCTGCCCAGGTTATTACCGCCCCTCCTATGAAGAGATGCTTCGATTCTACAGCTACTACAAGCAAGCTACCATGGGGCCCTGCCTGGTTCCCCGGCCTGGGTTCTGGGACCCCATTGGACGATATAAGTGGTGAGCTCCCCACCGGCTGGGCAAACAAGCCTCCACTGTCAACTAGCCTCTCACAACTCTCTGCCCCCAGGGATGCCTGGAACAGCCTGGGCAAGATGAGTAGGGAGGAGGCCATGTTTGCCTACATCACTGAGATGAAGGTGGTGGCACAGAAGGTAGGGATAGGCTGTGGGCTCCTCTCTGTCCCTAAGCTCCCGGCCAGATGGCCTGCCCCCCACCCTCCCATTGTTGCTCCCATTATATTTCCTGCATGTTGACACCCCATGGGAATTACCACCTTCATGCTGTCCCCCCAACCTTGTCTCTGGTCTGACTAGGCACGAGGTGGGGGGTATGACAACAGGAGCAGAGGGGAGGGCCCAGCTCAAAGGGATAGGAGGGCAGAGATGGAAGGGGCCAGCTATTCCCCAGTAAACCTTATCCCCTACAGGTGATCGACACAGTGCCCCTGGGCGAGGTGGCAGACGACATGTTTGGTTACTTTGAGCCCCTGTACCAGGTGATCCCTGACATGCCGAGACCCCCGGAAACCATCCTGCGAAAGGTCACAGGTCAGGACCCCCAGGATGGGAGCCCTGCAGGTGTTGGGTCAATTGTCAGGTTCAGGCTGAAGGGGCTGCTCGTTGGAGGGGGACCCAGGGGTAGAGGGCTCCAGGTGATGTCCCTGTAAGGACCCCAACTACTGCCCCGAGGGGGTGGTCTCAGGCAGTGTCTGTGGCTAATGGGGAACAGAGGTCTGAGCTCACTGGGAGGCGCCAGCCCCACTCCTGGGTGCTATGTCTCTGCAGGTTTTGAAGAGCAGGTACTGAATGGAGATACTGGGACTACCCCAGAGTCTCCCTGCCTTCCCAAGGAACCAGCACCCCCAAGCCCAGGTCAGTGGTTGGGAAGGAGGGGTAGAGGCCAAATACAGGCCAGGGATGGGGAAGACCTCCTGGTGTGGTGAAGGGGAGAAGGCTGGATGCCATGCTGTGCCCATCATACCTCATGCCCACAGATAGAGACTTCCTATGCTCCAGGGGAAGCCAGGAGGAAGTTTCTGAGACTTTTGTTCTAGAATCTAGGGCCTCACTTCTAGGACCCATCTGTGCCTCTTGTGGCAGTATCTGCCCAGTTCTACACTCCTTCCCTCCCTCCATAGCCTTCCTCTGGTCACTAACCTACCTGCACCCTCCCCAGAGTCTCAGCCACCCAGGGACCCGGACCCCGAGGTTTTCTGTGATTCCCTGGAGCAGCTGGAGCCTGAGCTGGTGAGATAACCCCTGGATCTTCCCTCTCCCAGCCAACTCTGCCCTGGCTGCTCCCACTGCTCCCTTTGGACCTTGTGACTTATCCCAGCAGGTGTGGGCAGAACAGAAGGGCGCCCCTGGAGGAGAGCCTGACAGCAGACACAGCCCTGTGCCCCCAACAGGGAAAGGTGAATCACTGTTTGACCCTTAACCCCCTTCTGCCTGCCCCATGGTTCTAATGCCCAGGCCCTTCCTTGGCTGCCCTCTTGGGGCAGAGATGAAAGTCTAGTTCTGGGAACTGGAGAGAGCAGCCTATGCCCAGGAAGGGTTGCCAAACAGCCGGACACTGGATGGGCAAAGTCCTTGCCTGGCCTTCTCTCCCTGAAGGCCATCAGGAGCCATCAGGCACTGAGGAAGGGTAGCTGGGGCAGGAAGTGCTAGCCTCCCACATAGCTGCAGCGACATGGCTTTGGGAGTCAGACTCTCTCTTTTCTCTGGGCCTCCCATTTTGGACTTTCAAAAGACAATAATGAGTTCTGCCCTATTCCCTTCTATAACGTCCAGTAAAGGGCACTTTCATAAATGTCATCTCCTTTATTCCTTTGAGCCAGCAGCCCTGTGAGGGAGATGATATCTTCTCCTAATTTTCAGATGACAAAAAGAGGCTCAGAGAAGTAAGTGACTTGCCCAAAGTCACACAGCTACTCCTGGTAGCCTGTTACTCAGCCATGTGGATGAACTTTACAAAAGTCACACTTGGTACAAGGAATTGTGCCCTACTCTTACTTTTTCCTGGACCTGCCCCAGCCTGCCCACACCCTGCCCCTGGCTGAGTTGCCTCCTGAGTCCTCTTCCCTATGTGTCCGTTTTCCGCAGAGAGGTTGAGAGGCAGCCTGCCGGGGCCCCAGGAATTGGACTCATGGCTGGTGGGGACAGTTCGAGCGCTGCAGGAGAGCATGCGGGATGTCCAGGGGAGACTGCAAAGCCTGGAGAGCATGCCTGCCCCCCGCGAGGAGGTGAGCCCCCCAGGCCTGGGGCAGGATCGGGGCAGAGCTCTGAAGGTCTGTCCTAGGCTCTTCATCCAGCCACTTCTTTGTCCCCACATCTCTACCTGCCCGCACCTTTGCCTCCTCCAGAGACTGGCGTGATTCACACTGCAGGCAGGGACTCTGAGCGCTTCCTCTTTTCCTGCCCTCACCTCCCTTTGCTTGAAGAGACACTGAACAGGAGGACTAATTCCAACAGTTGGAAGGGCCAGGATGTGTCTGCTCTTTGCATTGGGGCTGGGGGTCCCTGTTGTTCCTCAGTTGGACTTCTGTTCCCAGATTTAGGGTTTACTTCCAAACAGTTCAGCCCTTGCATTCCTCACTCCCCCCTGGACTCCAAGATCTGCTTGCCCCTTACACCTCAGCTTCTGCCATTTCTGGACCCCATCTATGTGCCAAATACCATTAGTTGCATTATCTCACTTAATCCACACAACAACCCTGTGAAATAGGCTTTCATTTCCCTGTTACAGATAAGGAAACTAAGGCTCTGAGAGGTTGAGTAACAGCTGGGAAGACTCTCACAGCTGCTGTGAGGATTAGATAATACTCGTTGTTACTCCCCTGAGCTCAGCACACACAACGACCTCCTGGAATGGAGTTCATTGTGATTAGTATTATTATTAACATTACATGATGGAACTGGGAGTGGCCCTAGCTCTGCCTGTCTCCAGAGCTGGCACCCACCATTAACTCTGAGTGGGTCTCTTCTGGAGAAGCCTGGGTTGGTGGGGGCAGGCGAGGGCTGAGCTGCTGGATGTGGCCAGTCATTTGGGTGACCCCTAATCCCTTTGGCACAGTGAGTATCAACCAGGGTGGCAGGAATTTCCTCACATTCACAGTGGCTAACATTTCAACACCATCCCCACCACCCTCTGAGGCTTTTTATATTTTGTTTACCTCTTACTAATTTTATATGCTAAAGAGTTTAAAGAGTTCCACCCTGAAGTACTTGGGTTTGCATCTCTAAAAACAAAAGCATTCTATTATCTAATTTTATCACACACAATAATTCCTTCATATCGTCACATGGCCAATACAAATTCAAATCTCTCCAGTTGTCCCAAAATTGCCTTTTCCAGCTGCTCTGTCTGTCCGGCCCAGGAGTACATGCGGCATCTAATTGCTGTCCTTTTGAGAATCTTTTAAGCCAGACCAGTCCCTTTTTCTTGCTGCTAACTTGCTAATGAGACAGCCAGTGGTCCTGTCGAACTGTCCCACGTTTTGGGTCTATCCGCTTCCTGGCAGGCGGCTTACACGACCAGATTTCATCGGAGGTGACGTCCTTCGCCTCAGGGCACACATGTCCATGTCCTGCCCTTCATGACCCTAACATGGACCGCTAGCATGGGCAAAGGGGTGGCAGTCTGGTCCCACTATTGTAAAGTCAGCTTTTTCTCTTGGAGCCAGTGAATGTCCAGTGCTCTGTCTACCCCATTTGTCACACAGGTTTTGACAACAATTGATAGGTAATCCTTGCCTGAATCAATAATTTATTTAGTAGTTGCAAAAAGGTTTACTTTTAAATTAGCTGTTATTTTTCTGTAGTTTTCTTTCTTTTTTTTTTTTTTTATTAGTTTAGGTATTACAAATGTGTCCTCATCCCCCCCATTGTAGTTTTCCTTTTTTAAAAAAAAATATATATATATATATATTTTATTGATTTTTTACAGAGGAAGGGAGAGGGATAGAGAGTTAGAAACATCCATGAGAGAGAAACATCGACAGCTCCTGGGGATGTGCCCGCAATCAAGGAACATGCCCTTGACCAGAATTGAACCTGGGACTCTTCAGTCCGCAGGCCGACGCTCTAGCCACTGAGCCAAACCGGTCCGGGCTGTAGTTGTCTTGATCACCTAGGATTTCCCTGAAACACAGTGCCTTATGAAAAGGCAGCATCTGAGCTTATTCTCTTTAATTATCTTTTTTAAAAAAAATTCTCACCCCAGGATATTTTTCCATTGATTTTTAGAGAGAGTGGGAGAGGGAAAAACAGAGAGAAATATCAATGTGAGAGAAATACATCAATTGGTTGCCTCCTGCATGTGCCCTGAACAGGGCCTGGGGAGGAGCCTGCAATCGAAGTCCGTGCCCTTGACTGGAATCGAGCCCAGGACCCCTTGATCTGCAGGCCGATGCGCTATCCACTGAGCAAACTGACTAGGACTAATAATATTTTTAAAGGACTTTAATCAACTGCAATCATTCTTTTTAATGCTCAGATTGTCACAACTTTGGTCAGTGGAGACCCTTTCAAGTTGGGTCCTATCGTGACTCATTAATCCCTAAAAGCTTCCTTGCTTTCATTCACCTCTACCTTTCCTGCTCCAGACCTGGAATCGGCCACTTTTCCAAGGAGTCCTGGCTCCTTTTAGCAAAAAATATTTAGAGATTAAAATCTGAGCACTCTGGGGTCCTCATTTGAAATATGTGGCACATCCTTTACAATATGAGGGTCTTAAGGCCACACCAAGGGGGCCATTGCTTTGTGGCCCAGAGGGAACAGCCTGGAAGCCAGTCCCTCCACCTGGCAGCCCCTCCAGCCTGCAGCCCTCGTGGCACCGGGGATCGCCCTGGAGGAGGGTGTGGAGGTGAGTTGGAGCTCATCTGTCAGGGACACACTAGGAACCCCAGGATCCTCCCTTCCAGTGGTGCAGATGTGGGGGCAGGACTTCTCTGCTCCAGGCCTCTAGACCTGAGTTCCCGAAGCAGGTTCCTGGGGAGGGCCGGCTGTGCTGAGGCTGGGCTGCCCTCTGACTCCGTCCCCCCTTCTTGGCAGCAGAGGCTCCCGTCCGGTGCTCGGCCTTCGCCCCCCAGGCTCTCAGGTCCTACGCTGCTCTTCTTCCTCCTGTGGCCCTTCATTGTCCAGTGGCTCGTCAGGCAGTTTCGGACCCTGAAGAGGTGATTCTCAATGGAGGAGTCTGCAGCCAACGAAGGAGCTATGTGCCCCCAGTCCCGCTGTGCCCGGAGCCTGCCAGGGTTTAAGAGAACAGCATTGACCCCACCCGCCACCACTACCAATCAGTGTTTGCCTTGGCACCCCTCCCCTAATGGGGAGCACGGCAAATAAGACCCCACCCTTCCCGCAGCTTCACGGGATGCTTCCACCACCACCACCACCCCCTCCCCCCTCCCCCCTCCCCAGTCCACCCCGGGTTTCCTGGGAAGGCTGCAGTGGCAGTGCCCGTCCTGGGGGCGGGGCTGCCCGTCTCGGCGTCTGCCCGCCCCAACCCTGGGTCACCTGACTCCTCCCGGCCCGGCCTCTCCCCGCGGAGGCCCGGCTGTCGGGCAGGTTGGGTTGGGCCGGGTCCTGGGATTGGTTGCCTGGGGCTGGGGGAGGCCCCGCCGAGCTGGGGGAGGCAGAGAGCAGGCCCGGGAGGGCGAGCGCTCCGTGTGCTGGCCTTCCTCTCCCGCGCACACTCAGGGCGTCTTCTCTGAAGATCCACTTACAAATGAATGTTTCACTAAATAAAATAAAACAATCTTCTGCCATCTGCGAAGTGAGGCGGAAGCCGAGTCCCGAGCGCCGAGGCACAGTCCCTCCCCTGCTCCCCACCCCGTGTCCCTTCGACCACCCGAGAGGAGAGGCCACTGGGGGACGCTTCTGGGGAAGGCTGTCCCTCCTCCACGGAGAGTGACGGAGCACGGAGCCGGGGTGGGGGGCGGGGGGGTCCTGGGAGGGGCGCGGGCCGCACCCGCCGCGGGGTAGGGCCAAGGACTCCCCCTCCCTCCCCCGTCGGGGCCCAGAGGGAGGTCACCCGTAGACAAGAACGGCTGCTCCCGGGGGTGGGCGCGTAGGGCTGGGCTCCAGGCACCAGGCTGGGAAGTGCCCCTTCCCGTGATCTCCCCCTGGGCTTTCCCAGGGAACTTTCTGGAAGGCCAAGACCCAGTGGGAGCCTTTGCCCCCCCCCCCCCCGCGCGCCCCGTAGGCATGGGGGCGGGGCGGGGACCTGCGCCAGGAGCCCCTCTTTGGTGCGGGCAGAAGCCCGAGCGGGCACAGACCTCCCAGTGACATTTATCCTTCTCACCTCCTAGCAACTCCGGCCGCCCTGGGTCAGCACCAGCCCTGCCCAGGCCGTGTTGGCGCTCAGGCCACTGGCCACGTCCCCCGTGCAGGGCCGCAGCAGCCTGGAGACCCCTGTTGCTGCCACCTGGGCCCCAGGGCCTTCCTGCCCCTGGGTGAGGAAGAGTAGCTCTGAATGCCCCTCCCTGGAGATCCTTAAGCTCCCGAGTTACCGGGGTCAGCCTTGGCCTTGCCCACCCTCCCGGCTCGGCCATCTCTCTTTTATCCTCAGTCCTGTTCTCAAGGCGGATCCCTCCGAACAGACACATGGCCCCGCTGCTCCAAGCTGGCCCAGGGTTACAGTCGAGGCCACAGCAGGGCAGGGGGAGAGGGACAGACTGGTGCTGGGGATGCAGGGTGGAGCGGAAGCCAGCTCCACCACTTGCACGCACTAATTGTTGCGACTTGGGTAAGACCAGATCTTTTAAAAATATTTTTTTTTATTGATTTCAGAGAGGGAGAGGGATAGAAACATCAAATGATGAGAATCACCGATCTGCTGCCTCCTGCATGCCCCCGAGTGGGGATGGAGTCCAGGCACATGCCCCGATTGGAACTGAACCATGACCTCCTGGTTCATAGGTTTACACTCAACCACTGAGGCACACCGGCCGGGCAAGACAAGATCTTGATTGCTCTGAGCCTGGGTTGTCTTGTTTGTGAAATAAAGATGGTGACCATAAGGCAGTCCTGGGGTTTAAATGACCAGGGTATATAAAATGCCTGGCAACGGGTTAAAACTCAGCTAAGAGTAAGGGCCTGGCCCCCTGTTTGATAGCATTCTAGAATTCCACAACCTATTCGTCTGGGAACCCCAATATGACAAATGAGTCCATACAGCTGAGCCCTGTCCAGAAAACTGAGGCTGGGCTCAGCTGTACCTTCCAGATTCCCCGATGAAGGGTACCCAGGAGTCCTTTGGAGTCTAAAACTGTGGTAACAAACTGGAGGTCTCGGACTCCCTGATGGAAGATGAGGCCCCAGGGGGAGGCCCTCCTGCCCCGGGGTTTCCAGGGAGGCCCTGGCGCCCACCCGGTGCTCCCAGTGCGAGGCACCTCCTGCTGGACGGAGGAAGCAGCGCAGAAGGCAGGCTTGTCAGATGGACGGAGTTCTCAGCAGCTCGGGGGAAACAGGCTGGGATGGTCCATTTCAGAACACCCGGCCCTGCCCCACCGGCACTCCCGCCCGCCTCTCCCTTTGGGCATGCCCTCGCCACTTTCCCACAGAACCACTCCTGAACGGAGGCTTGCTCTTCAGAGAATGCCCTTCTTTGTGCCACTTCGCCTGGAAACCATTCATCCTGCAAAGACAGCTAGGAAGTCACTTCCCCTGGAAACCTGCACACAATCGTCCGCTCCTCCGCAGCGGGGCCCACCGGCTCCCCGCTGGTTTCTGTCCCCTGCCACTTTGGCTGTTTGACGGCCTCTGTACGCAGCCTCTGAGCAGCAAGGATGGCATGTTAAATATCAGGCCCTCCTAACAGATCTTTGCTAAATGAAGAAAAGAGGGCCTGGATTATGCTGAAGTTGTTAGGAATGAAAAGGAACTAAATCTAGAGTTGTTGGGGGGAAAAAAGGAATTCTGTGTTTGTGACGAAGAAAAATGGCCCGGGGGTCACAGAGGCCGGCACACTTCGTTGTCATGTGACCTTGGACAAGTCACTTAATTTCTCTGAGTCTTAGAGACTTTCCATCTCTAAGATGGAGGCAGTCATTTCTATCCTTTCCCCCTGGGCCGTGGTGGGGTCAAACGGTTCTGCGGTAAAAGCACACGATCCGGTGGAAAGCTGTTGGGATGTCAGCCGCTGCCGCTCTTAAGGGAGAAATCATCAGAACGGGTGGCTGGGTGTGTGGGAGGAGGGAGAAGCGACGATTAGGATGGGCTTAGGCCTAAGTAATTAGGACCAAAGGGCTGAGCGGCTCCCCGGCCCTGTCCTTGGGGCAGGTGCTCGGAATCCGGAGAATGTTCTCGGGAACAAGCCTTCCTCCCGCTCCCCAGGAATCTATCCCGTCGGGGCCAAGCCCCCGCCCCCGTTTCGGGATAAAGCCTCCTCCTTGGGGAGCCTCTGGCTGCTCCCCGCCCGGTGCTGCCCCGCACCCACTGCCGAGGAAGCGCCTCTGCAGGCGATACCCCTCCTCTCAGGGAGCCAGGGTTGATTAAATCCACTATTATTTACTTAATTCACCAACAAGGAGTTCACCAGCGGGCCCGACTCCCCTGTCCGTCTCAGGAAATGCTCTGCACAGACCACGTCGGCCCCAAGAGGCCATTTTCTTCGCTAGAAGCTGAGGCCCCGGGGGGTGGGGGGTGGGGGGGGCGAGGCCTTCCTACCCCGGGGTTTCCAGGGAGCCCCTGGCGCACACCCCGCGCTCCGCTCCCCGGATACCGGCCCGGCGAGAGGCTGTCTCAGGCCACCGTCTGGCAGCGGCGGCCTCCCCGGGGCAGCAGCGGCACCGAATGGCCACGCTGGGGCTGGGGCTGGGGCTGGGCCACGTCCCTCCTAGGTCTCGAGGCCAGTCCGCGGGTGGACGTCGCTCGGGACTCGAACCTGCCTTCTCATCTCCGAGGCCTAGTCCGACGTTGCTGTGCTAACGCAGTCACACTGTCCCTTTAAGGCGGCACTTTTTATACTTCATTTGTTTACTTCTTCATGCGCTTTTCATTTTTTTGCAAAATGTGTCACAATATCCGTCCGCAATCGTCAGTCCGAGGTTCTAGCAATACACTTTTAAAACATTTGCGTAATCTTAAGAATCGAAAGCTACCAGCCATGGGCCCATAGGTCTCTTTATAAGACTTAATTTTTTTTACACTTTAGGGACTACTTTTTAGGAGTAAACCATTTTTTTGACCCAGTTAACAAATGATTACGACCTTCGGCACCTTTTCACTGAGTACAGAATACGATAGCATGCTTTAAGACGCACCTTTGTATTAAAATATTCTGTGTGGGCCCTCACAGACCTTCGAACCTTCTCGTATTCCTGAAGCGGAATGGTACGGTCCAGAGCCCGCCCCCTCTCTGCATTGGCTTTCCTCCTCCGCGCAACGTGTGACTGTTAGCCAATGGGCACTCACGTTTTCCCAGCGAGGGACAGGCGGCGGAGGGCGGTGGCCAGGGAGACGCTCCTTACGCGACCTGGCATTGGCTACGTCGCACGGCGCGTGTAGCGGCGGGCCGCAAAGATGGGGACTACGAGTCCCAGCGTCCAGCGATGGGGACCCCATCACGCATGCGCATGGGCGGCGGCCAAGCTTCTATATAAAAGCGGCGCCGAGCGCTGGGAGGCAGCAGTTGGAAGTTGGCAGGTGGGGAGGCAGGTTGGGAGGGGCAGCTGGGGGAGGAGGCGGAAGAGCTGTCGGGAGGGGGAGGAGGGAGGGAGGGAGGAAGAGAGGAGGAGAACTGAGCTGAGCAGAGCATTGAGCCAAAGGGGAGATGAGTTTGTCTGTCCTCGGATGAGGCTCCGGCCCGGCCTAAGGAACTGGGAGCTCGGGTTGGAGCGACACCCGTGGAAGTGGGAGGAGGTGGCTCTGGGACCTTAACCCCTTGTGAGCTCTGCGGCAGGGGATTTAACCCTTTGTGGGTCCGGCCCCTCAGAGGCAGCGTCATCGGGTAGTTTTAACCCCTTCGGGGCTGGGTTTAACCCACTGGACTTAACCTCATCTAGCCCACCAATTCCTCCATCGTGGGGGGCGCTCTGCGGGGGGGCTCGAGGCCGACCCCCTTCGTACATTACGCGCTGTTCCTGCTGCTGCACCCCTTTGGACCTGCTTAGCTGATCGCGCGGTGGCGCTTAACCCTTTACTGACTTGAGCGCCCCCAAGTTGCAATTGGAGTTTGCTGACAGGACCAGCTGAAGGCATCACTGCAGGAATTACCGAATTGGAATCTGTTGGACATTTTTTTCAAGAAAAGAAAAACCTCTTTTTTCTTCAAGGACTTGCAGCCAAAATTCTCCAAACTTTGAGGACTCTTGTTGCCATGGCCGAGCCACTCGTGTCGGAATTTCAGCACCAGCCTCAAACTGGCAACTGTGCAGGTGCTGATGCTGTCCACGAAGAGCGGAACCCCGACCGCCCCCCGGGCGCAGAGGAGCCGGTGCCCGAGGACGACAGTAGGTGGCAAGCAAGAGCGCTCCCCCAGCCGGGTGGCCGTCCAGGGCCAGAGGGGGAAGGGAGCCTGGACCCCCAGCCGTCTCCTTTGCCAACCCAGGTCTGTCCAGAACCTAGCTGCCTGGAAGCGGACGAAAAGGGCCAGAATGGAGATGACTTGTCCGCTGGCGGACCCGCCCCGCCGCCAGCGGGAGGGGAACAGAGGCCCGAGACCGAGCCGCTCACCCAACCGTGTCACGACTCCGAAGCCAACAAGTTGGGGGCTCCTGCCGCTGGAGGCGAGGAGTCGTGGAAACAGCAGCAGAGGCAGCTGGGCAAGAAGAAACACAGGCGACGCCCTTCCAAGAAGAAGCGGCACTGGAAGCCTTACTACAAGCTGACTTGGGAGGAGAAGAGAAAGTTCGACGAGAAACAGAGTCTTCGAGCTTCGAGGGTTCGAGCCGAGATGTTCGCCAAGGGCCAGCCGGTGGCGCCCTATAACACCACGCAGTTCCTCATGGATGATCACGACCAGGAGGAGCCGGACCTCAAAACCGGCTTCTACCCCAAGCGGACTGCGGCCAAGTCGGACACCAGCGACGAAGAGTTTATGGAAGAGGCGGGTGAGGAGGATGGGGGCAGCGACGGGATGGGCGGCGACGGCAGCGAGTTTCTGCAGCGGGACTTCTCGGAGACGTACGAGCGGTTCCACGCGGAGAGCCTGCAGAACATGAGCAAGCAGGAGCTCATCAGGGAGTACCTGGAGCTGGAGAAGTGCCTCTCTCGCATGGAGGACGAGAACAACCGGTTGCGGCTGGAAAGCAAGCGGCTGGGCGGCGGCGACGACGCGCGCGTCCGGGAGCTGGAGCTGGAGCTGGACCGGCTGCGCGCCGAGAACCTGCAGCTGCTGACGGAGAACGAACTGCACCGGCAGCAGGAGCGGGCGCCGCTGTCCAAGTTTGGGGACTAGACTGAAACTTCGGAGGGGAGGGACAAAGGGGACTTTTTACAGTGATGGAATGTAACATTATATACATGTGTATATAAGACAGTGGACGTTTTTATGACACATAATCAGAAGAGAAAATCCCCCGGCTTTGGTTGGTTTGGTAAATTTAGCTATGCTGTAGCTTGCGTGCTTTCTCCTGTTCTTTAATTATGTGAAACTGAGGGATGCGTTACTTTTCTTTTTAGAAGGTTGTTTTTTTTATGTGTAATTTGACCAAGTTACAATGCATTTTCTGTTAAAAATCCTCTCAAGCTGATCTATAAGGTGGCCAAATCTGAGAACCATTAAATTCATTCTAGTTATAATAAATTTAATATTTGTAAATGTAACATAGTTTAAGTGTGATTTCTAGAACTAATTCAAAATAGTGCTGATTTATGCGATTGCATTTTGGGGAGGTAAAGAAGTTATTAAATTTGTTTGGAAGAAATCTCTTAATGGAAGAATTTTCAATGTGCTGATTTTCCTCTTGAATGAGTTCTTGTGTGCTACAATATATAGTTCAGGCAAAATATAAAGATTTAAATAGCTTCTAACTTAGTGTGCTTGCTTCCTAGTGCCTTGGTTTTCCTTCCCGATGCTGGAGAAATAAACCAGTATTGGGTGTTTGGGGAGTAGAAAGTGGCTACAATTGGGAGCTTAAAATTTAATTCTGCTCACTAGCCATTCAAAAGTCTGTTAACAAAAATAAACATCTAATTTGGCAGTGAGACAACTGACAGCCTCATTTCATTCCTACAGTAGGTTTTTAGTAATCTCCACCCCACCCGCCTCCTCTCCCCTCCCCTTTGAGACTGGAAGGAGCTCCTAGATACCTACCTGGAAGAGGCTCTAGGTAAACCTATTGCTTAATGCAAACAATGGCTGGATAACCTTATGGGGCAGCTCTTTATGTTAAAATGTTTAGAGATAGGGGATATTGGATTTACAAAAGAAAGCTGTTTGGAGCATTCCAAGGACTTACCCTACTTGTCGAATACTTAGGGTGCTCCCTATACCAAAAAAAAAAAAAAAAGGAATAGGAGCTGCCCACCTTTCTATGAGGGTAGAACTGTAATTATAAATGCCCCCCTCACTGCAAGTCAAACATAAAGCTTCTGGTTAAAGAGCTAAATTAACTCCTTGGGGGCTGAGTGAGAACCCTGCACGTATTTCCTGTACAGCTGCTATTCTCAGTCTCCTAAACTGCGCTGATAGCAATTCTTGAATAGTTCTGATCTTGAAAATGCAGGGAGACCCTAAGAATTTCTGCCCACACATCAAAATAGTAAGAAATTAGGACTGTTCCCTCCTGCCCATCACCTTCAGCTGCCGTTTCCTTAGGGTAACTGCACCACTCAAATCACTAGCACAGGGGTTCCTTAACTTGGGGCCTTAGAAACCATAGGGAGCCTTGGGGTCCACAAACCCCATAAAATTATATGTAGACTTGTGTTATATGTACACTTTTCCAGGGAAAGGGTTCAAGAGAATAAGATTGTCAAACTTGAAGGTTTAAAAACCCCTTCCGGGAAAGGGAAAAGCCTCCCACTACGTAGATCCTTTTGCAGGTAAACAGTGGAGGTGGTGGAACTTCAAGAGTGAAGCGCACCTTATGATGCATAAGGAGCATACACAAACCAGTGAGTCAAAGGGAATTATGCTGGTCAAGACTGACTCAGGGCCCTCAAAGCTGGACTGAGCTGGCCTCTGGCCCTATTCTGGTAATGGCCCATGGGAGACAATGTATAATCAGTTTTTCCTTTGGCCTAAAATTTACATTAAATGTCTAATTTGAAATAGTTTTCTTCGTGTTTTTAATATTTCTTCTACTATGACATCATGCAGCAGTCCCAGAAACAGCGCTGCTTGATGGAAGGGCAGCAACACTGCCCTCTGGCTTTTAGTGCGGAGCAGAAGCCTCGTTTTGATTGCACAAAGATGCAATGCAGCAGTGATAACCTCTCATTTCAGAACCTCTTCTGAAGACAGACTGATGTCAAAGAATCCTGTTTCCCCTACTATTAGTCTTGGAGAGACTTTACAAGTACATTTATCAGAAAATACTGTATGTTTTACTCTTAGGAGACAAATGCAGTCCCGTTTTTAAAAACATTTAACTCATAAATTTGCTATCTTGAGCTATACAACTTTCTGAATTCTGCTTTCAAAGGCACTGGTATTTTACTATATTTATTGCATTTATATTCTTGGAATGATGAGTTTTGTGTGAAATAGGAGTTTCTATCAACACTTTCTACATTGAAAGAGTTGACTAGTCTATTGCTCTCAGGGCAGAAGACTGAATTACCTATATTAACGGGGGGTTTGTGATGACAGATATGCTCAAATCCACTCTACTCTTTCACTAAAGTATCTCCTGCCAAACATTTCAGCTGAGCTACACAAAAGACCATGCTTACACACTGGCAATTTCAGTTTCTAATACTGGGCCTGGATATCTAGCCAGGACAAAGCACTGCCTAAACTTTGAGACAACTGGCTGCATAGCTTAATCCTCCCCTCAGTCAGAAAAACTTTCCTTGGGCTAGCCTAGAACATAAAAGAGGCTCTCAGGAGACAGGTACCTTCAGATTTCAGTGTGAGGAGAAAAAGCCAGGGAGTTCGATTAGTTTATTTCTGAAAAATAGACTAATCTCTAAAGAGAGGAAAATGGTAAAAATTAGACCAGACTCGAAGTCAAAGACCCCGGGTTCCGGTCATACCTTTAACATAGATGTGCTAGCAATGCAATCCTGGACACATCTCTCAAACCCTGAGCCTCATTCTTCCTCAGCAAAGGGGCTATGGCTACTTTACAGAACTGTTAGAAGCATTAAACGAACAGTATGAGAATGTTTTACACACGCATATAGCAGTTGCCCATTTGATGTTTTTGTTTTTTTTATTATCTGATGATTTTTTAATTGACTTTAGAGAGAGGAAGGGAAGGAGGGAGAGAAACATGGATCAGTTGCCTCCTGTACGTGTCCAACTAGGGATCAAACCCACAACCTGATCAGTATTTCTTCACTTCATCCAGGATTTATAAAAATATGTTTTATATAAATATAAAAATCCTTTGTTTGGGGAAATGTAAACAAACATACTTTATCCTAATGACTTCAAAAATGAGAGAAACCAAAGAGTGAATCCAATAAATTAAAAAAAAAAAATCCACAATCCAACAGTTTACTTTCAGAAAATCAAGAACTGGCTATATTTAATCAAACATTAGGTAATACACTACAAATGTCCCCCTGGCCACTTACACCCAGAATTGCTGGCAATGAATATGCACAATAGTGTGATGGAAAAGTTGGCTAGAGTAAGGATGGTACTTGTACCTAACTAGATACACTTGCGTATGTTGTGGTTTTTTAAAATTATTTTTTCACATTTGACAAGATCATTGGAATAAAACTCCATTTTACTATTCTTTCCCACATGAAGTGTAAATCGTTGATGGTAGGATAAAAAGTAATTTTTAAGAGAAAATGTCAAATTTAGGACCTGAACACAGTGGAGTCTGCTGACCAAAGTGTAATAGTCACACTTTGCAAATGGAACCAGATCTACGGTCTAGGAGGGAAAGTTTCAATCTTTGGCCAAGTTTTGCCAGTTGTCTTTGAATATTGGAAAGCTTACAACTTCTTTCCATCTCTTGTTGAAAAACCAAAGGCTGGGTTTAGACAAATCAATGCTGTAGCTTTTACAAATCTTCCCGAATTAACTTTTTCTTGTTTGTTTTTTTTAGAGTTGGTTCAATTATCAAAATTCTTTCAAATGGTTGAGATGCTACAGGAAACTGTTGGTAAGTCTTTTGAAATAGTGTGATTTTAAAAAAAATATTACTGATTTTTTACCGAGAGGAGGGGAGAGGGTTAGAGAATTAGAGAAACATCGATCAGCTGCCTCCTGCACACCCCCCCACTGGGGATGTGCCCGCAACCAAGGTACATGCACTTGACCGGAATCGAACCCGGAACCCTTCTACCCACTGAGCCAAACGGTTCTGGCTGAAATAGTGTGATCTTTTAACACTGCACCAAGAACAGTTACATTGGGCCCTGACCGGTTTGCTTCAGTGGATAGAGCGTCAGCCTGCGGACTGAAGGGTCCCGGGTTCGATTCCGGTCAGGGGCATGTACCTTGGTTGCGGGCACATCCCCAGTAGGGGGTGTGCAGGAGGCAGCCAATCGATGTTTCTCTCTCATCGATGTTTCTGACTCTCTACCCCTCTCCCTTCCTCTCTGTAAAAAATCAATAAAATCCTATCTAAGAATAGACAAACACGGTAATTGACCATACCTTCGCTACACCACCACTGGCTAATCAGCACAATATGCAAATTAACCACCAACAAAGATGGCGGCTAATTTGCATACTGCAGGCAGGGTGGGACAGCGCCATTCCACCTGCTCCGCCGCCATCAGTGCCTGCTATCTGTGACCTGGGGCAGCGGGCGTCCCGTGTGGGACCTGACCCGGGGCGGCCGGGAGGGGCAGCGAAGGCTTGAAGGTGGCTCTGGCCAGAGTGAAGGCCTGGGTCCCAGGTGCCGGAGGAAAACCAGTGCCGGCAGCTGGGGAAGGGAAAGCCCATTGCACGAATCTTTTCATGCAACAGGCCTCTACTATATTAAAAAAAAAAAAAGAAAGAACAGTTACATTGGCTTACACATTTTTTTTTTCCAAGAACAAACATTCAGAACGGAATTGCAAACACTCCTCTGAAGTCATATTCTATTTGACACATTCACTGACTTTGTGTGAAGTGTTAAAAAGCCCTAGGTCTGCAGTGAGCAAAAAGAATATTCCTGAAGCTTTAGAGTGCTCCATGCAAAATAATTTGAAAAAATGATAACATCCCTGCTCTTATAAACTACTCAGCAGAACTTGTCCTAACCTCCACAGAGTCATAAAAAGGGGTTAATTTGAAATTCTGAAACCTGCTCTAAACATGTAATTCTGCATATCTGGATAACTCCAGTATAATTTTCAGGCAAAGGCAGAAGACCAAACTGGAGGATGGAAGTGAATGTGTAAGAGGTTAGTTCTACCTTCCTTTCTAGTTATTACTAAAAATGTACTTAACAAAACAGCAAACATTTGAACAGCTTAGAAAGACAGAAAATAGAGAATGGTGAGAGCTAAACAAAGAATAGCCCAGCCAGTGTGGCTCAGTAGTTGAGCACTGATCTATGAACCAGGAGGAAATGGTGATTCCCAGTCAGGGCACATGCATGAGTAGCAGGCTCCATCCCCAGAGTAGGGCTCGCAGGAGGCGACCGATCATCAGTGATACTCTCTTATCATTAATGTTTCCCTCTCTCCCTTCCTCTCTGAAATCAATAAAAATATATTTAAAAAATAAACACAAAGAATGAAAATGAATTAACTGCAGAAATCAAATAGTTCAGAAGCAAGTATCTTCCTTCTGAAGAGGACTGGTGCAGAGAACCAATGAGCCCTAGCTGGTTTGGCTCAGTGGATAGAGCACTGGCCTGTGGACTGAGGGGTCCCAGGTTCGATCCAGTCAAGGGCACATTCCCAGGTGTGGCTCAAACCCCAGTAGGGGGCGTCCAGAAGACAGCTGATCAATGATTCTCTCATCATTGATGTTTCTCTCTCTCTCTCTCTTTTCCTCTCTGAAATCAATAAAAATATATTTAAAAGCTCTTGAGCCGAACTGGTTTGGCTCAGTGGATAGAGCGTCGGCCTGCGGACTGAAGGGTCCCAGGTTCGATTCCAGTCAAAGGTATGTACCTTGGTTGCGGGCACATCCCCAGTGGGGGGCGTGCAGGAGGCAGCTGATCGATGTTTCTCTCTCATCGATGTTTCTAACTCTCTATCCCTCTCCCTTCTTCTCTGTAAAAAATCAATAAAATATATATTTTAAAAAAATAAATAAAAGCTCTTGAGCAAAGTTTGTTACTTAATGCTCACACATAGCCAACTAGTCCCCAAAAGTTGGACCATCAGGCAAATGTACAACATCCAGGACTTTGTGGCAACAACTGCTTGGTACCCTGAGAGATTGACCCTCGTTCAGCCTATTGGAGGGGCAGGGCACCCTTTGTGCTGCCATGGGCGCATTTCAGTAAGGCAGACCTCCCAACTACTCCAAATAAACTTCAAAGCAGAAGTGCTAATGTTCCCAAATAAGGAAGTTATAGCAAGTAAATGTTTAGACAAATGGCTACTGAAGAACAGTTACTTCTCAAATATTTATGCTGTAGCATTAATACCATTTTCAAATTAGGAAACTGAGGCATACCCAATAAATTCAATAAAAAACAAAAACGTTAAAAAGGAAACTGAGGTATATACAAAATGGTCTATTGAAGAATTTGTCATAAACTACAAAGCAACTCGTCTGAAAGGAGCGAGCTGAGAAGGAAGTCGAAGGTTTGATTGGACATTAGATGAATAGACGCAGCAACAACACAGTTCGGCCTAATCTTTAGGATTTGGCCTCTAGCCAACCAACCACGGCAGTGGTAGCACACAGAAATAGAACTTGGAGTTCCTTCTTTCCAGTCTTGTGTTTTTGTTTTTGTGTGTTTTTTTTAAATATATTTTATTGATTTTCTACAGAGAGGAATGGAGAGAGATAGTTAGAAACATCGATGAGAGAGAAACATCGATCAGCTGCCTCCTGCACATCTCCCACTGGGGATGTGCCCGCAACCCAGGTACATGCCCTTGACCGGAATCGAACCCGGGACCCTTCAGTCCGTAGGCCGACGCTCTATCCACTGAGCCAAACCGGTTTCGGCAAGTCTTGTGTTTTGTTCAGTAAATAACCAAACTAGTTTTATTTCCAACTTTTCTTATCAAGGAATGGAAAAGCTTATGGGTCAAACCTTAAAGAGGATATGCTTTCATTTTTATAAATGAGTAACGAATTTCTGTACCAGGTATTCTCCACTTAGTAACATCCAAAGGTTTAACTAGATTACTTCAAAATGGAGGATAAATCACAAGAGTCTGAGATCCTCCTCCATTAAATTCTTGACAGAAGCAGCACCAAGGTAATCTTCAGAGCCCCTTTCAGCTTCTATGACTATTTAACTTAACGCCTACCAAGTTAGCGTCAGCTTTTCCGAACTAGAGTCTTGAACTGAAGAACAGTGTAAAGTGAACATGACGTAAACCAACTCAACCTACAGTATGAATCCCGTGTACTGAAGCTTCATTTAGGATTAAGTGGTTCAAATGTTCGATTAAGAACTGCAATCAGATCAACCAAAGGACTTGTATGCATGCATATAAGCATAACCAATGGACATAAGACACTGGGGGATAGGGGAGGCTAGGGGACTGTCTAGGGCGGGGGGGAAAAATGGACACATATGTAATACCCTTTGTATTACTTTATGCAATAAAAAAAAAAAAGAACTGAAATAAATGTGATCATATCTTTGCAATCCAGTTCTAAGACTTTCTCTGAGAATAGCTGGGGGGTAGAGGTAATTGTTAAGGCTGTGGAACTGTCACTCTCACAACTTTTTAAAACATTTACTTTATAAAGAGGAGCAGGGATTCGGTGTCTTGCTATTAAGGCCAAAGACTTAGAAATTTGACTATCTCTAACTGGCAATGAGATTCTTCAAAAGGTAACCTCAAAGAGGAAGTCACTGCCCAGTCACTCCCCTACTTCAGAATCTACGTAAGCATAATTTTTGTTTTATACTTTTTATTGATTTTTCACAGAGAGGAAGGGAGAGGGATACAGAGTCAGAAACATCGATCAGCTGCCTCCTGCACACCCCACTGGGTATGTGCCCACAACCCAGGTACATGCCCCTGACCGGAATCGAACCCGGACCCGTCAGTCCGCAGGCCGACGCTCTATCCACTGAGCCAAACCGGCTAGGGCCTAGGCATAATTTTAACTGGCATTTTAGTAAAAGAATTATTAAAATATCCCTGAGCGCCCTGACGGGTTTGGCTCAGTGGATAGAGCGTCGGCCTGCGGACTGAAGGGTCCCGGGTTCGATTCTGGCCCAGGGCATGTACCTGGGTTGCGGGCACATCCCCAGTGGAGTGTGCAGGAGGCCGCTGATCGATGTTTCTAACTCTCTATCTCTCTCCCTTCCTCTCTGTGAAAAATCAATAAAATATACTTAAAAAAAAAAATATCCCTGAGCTATAAACCTCCCTGCATTTAGATTTCCAGCGGTAGGAAACGAGTTTAATCCGCAATTCCAAAAAGGAATTCCACATTGAACTCCAACCTTTAAGAAGCCACTACAGCTGTAATGTCAGGCCGAGTTGTTTTTCAGAGCAGGTGTCCCCTCTCCCCAAAACTCCATGTGTGTGCAGCAGCTCCAAACTGCAAATTCTAAAACAGTAACATAGGATCTACACGAGAGATGTTTAATGACCTGACATTTCAAAATAGAGGTTCCCCAGTGACAATGCACCGGCGGCGAAACACCCCCCCGTTTAGTTGGTGGGAGAAAAGTGTTTTAAACTGGAAAGAATTTGTAAGTCTTATAAAGATTACATGGGAATTCGTGCGTTTTTGCTTTTTTTCCCCTCTAGGAGGGACAGGCATTTCTCCAAAAGTTTTGGTAGAAGTGATGGCTCAGATTTCAAAATGCAAACAGATGTTCCTGAGGCATCCGAGAGGGGCCACTCCCCTTTTATTTCCATAGTCCTGGCGACTCCTAAGTTACTTTGTGTCCCAACACCCATGCCCCTTTGATGTCAACTTTCACGAAAAGTGGGAAAACACTTTGTTTGGAGTTTCCCCAAGTGGCTGGCGCCGTACGAGGCCAGGTGGTTCCGAGAATGGGCGCTGGTCAGGACAAACCTCGAGGACCGGAGCGCCCCGACTTCCACGCACCGGGATCCTGCAGGCGCCCGCACGCGCCCACCCCGCCGGGCCCGGGGGCTCGGGTCGGACGTCACCGCGGGAGGCGGCCCGGGCCCGGGGGCTCGGTGCACGGGGCGGGGAGCAGTGGGTGCGCCGGGCTCTCCGACCTCCGAGCCCCCGCTCGCCGACTGCCACGCCAGAGGGACGCGCGGCCAGTGCCTCCACCGCCACCCTCCCCGGCGGCGCAGACTTTGGAATCTGGCGTCTCGGCCCCTTCGCCCGTCGAAGTGGGGGCGGGGGCTGGGGCGCGGGTGGCCGCCATACCCAGGCCGAATGGGACCGGGAAAAGAACTTGACAGCGCTCGGCCGCATGACCTGCGCCCCCGTGGGAGGACAGCGGAAGAGAGTCGCTTCACCCGGTCTCTGCCCAACCTGGGGTCTCGGGAAACACGCGGTAATGACCCAAGAACCCCGCCCTCCGGGAGAGGCGAGGCGGCGAGGCTGCCGGGACGGTTTGAGGGCCAGGCCCGGCTGGGAAGACTCCAACCTTCACCTCCCAGGTCCCCGATCCCACTTCCCGCCGTCTCCCGGCGTCGCCACTTCAGGCAGCCCACTGGGCCCGGTCTCGCCCCACGCCCGGACCGCCCCCCAGGGGGTGCTCTCACTGTGCAGCGAGTCCCTCCGCTGCCTCCTCCCAGCCCAAAATGGCGGCGGCGGCGGCCACCGCTCCTTCTCGTCGCCTTCCTCTAGGACCGGGATCCCTCCGCGCCCACAGCCCCTCCCCCCTCGGCCGGATCTATTTTCTGCCTAGTAAAGATTAACGCCATCAATGAACTCTTTAATTGAGCTCCGAGAGCGAATCCGGTTGTGCTTCCGCACGGCCAACGTCGACATAAGCGGAAATATTGACAGATGAGCCGGCCAATAAAAAGACAGAGGTGAGCGCGGGACGACTCCCGCGCAAGGCTAGATGGGTTTTGGAGTTCGCGGGGTAGCTGTTGACGTGAGCTGTTGACGTGACAGGATGTTGGGTCGCCTTCCAAGGCCAGAAGAACTACAATCCCCAGCAGGCATCGCGCTGTAAAGGCTGTTCCCTCCCCCCTGCCTCCCCGCCCCCCAACCATAGCGCCTGAGCGGCTTGACCGGGGAGAGCTGCTGCAACTGCAGCAAGAGGTAGGGCTGAGGCGCTGGAATTGCAGACGGGCGATTGCACAAAAAGACAGCAGATGTAGTCGGTGTGCATAGCCCTTGCCCTTGACAACAAATAGGTCAGTTCCGCCTTTGCAAAACCTCTTTCCCCGACCATTTCCTCTCTTGTAAAGAATCCATCCTTACCCCGTTTGGGTTTCCTTCCCAACTCCCTATAATGTGAAGCCCCTTTCCTCTGTTTCCCACCCTGAGAGGACGTAGGAAGGCAGGCCATGCCCTGTCGATGAAAAGGCCTCAGTCCCAGGCTCAGCTCAGGCCCCAGGCGTGTTTCTTGAGGCATTGACTTCTGGAGCCCAGCCTGGGTCGGGGTTGGGGGGCCGCAGTTAAGATTGAGGCCTCTGGAGAGGACCCCCTCGTGTTGGAGCCACCGGCCCAGTCCACTCCGAGTCTCTCCAGGGCGTTGCTATGTGCACAGTGGCCGCCCCAGGCAGCCTGCTTTCCCACTTTGGTTGTTGGGGGAACAAAGCTTAGTCCTGCCTTCCTAGCTGCCAGCCTGGTCCTCAGTGACTTCCAGGTGAGCAGCATAGGATGTCGGCCTGGCCCTGGCCCCGAGGCCTGAGAAACAGGGCGGGGAAGGTGGTTTCTTTATCCCCATTTGGCCCCTTGCTGGCTGCAGGTGTGAAAAACAGGGTGGAGGCAGCCTTCCGGGCCTTCCATTGAAAATGAGGTTGTGCAGGTCTGGTGCTACAAAATGGCTGCTGTTGCCTTGGTAAAAAACTCCGGGGCAGCCCGTCTTCCTGAGAATTCTCCTTCAGGACTTAGGTTTCTGTTGTTGTTTAAAGCAGGTGTCACTAGTTAAAGGCATCTGCTGAGAGATTTGGAACAGAAGAAGGTGGCCCCTCCGAACCAGACCAACTGTAACGCAGAGCGATCAGCAGCCATGGAGGAGGCCAAGGTAAGGCTCGCCCTCCCAGGCCCCGGAATGCTCTGAATATGGATTGTGCCATCTGGGAGCCTGGTCTCTTGTCTCAGATGTGTTGGCAGATTTGGAAAAATCAATATGTTTAAATGAGTTCCTACTATGCGCCAAGTAATACACCAGATGCTAAATCTGTGCTATCTCATGACATCCTAGTAGCCCTTCAGGATAGGACTTATTATTTCCATTTCACAGAAGCTAAGGTTCTTTTTAAAAAAAAATATATATATATATTTTGCCTTAACCAGTTTGGCTCAGTGGATAGAGCGTTGGCCAGCGGATGGTAGGGTCCCAGGTTCGATTCAGGTCAAGGGCACATGCCGGGTTTGTGAGCTCAATCCCCAGTGGGGGGCACGCAAGAGACAGCCAGTCAATGATTCTCTCTCATCATTGATGTTTCTATCTCTCTCTCCCTCTCTGAAATCAATAAAAATATATACATATAAAAATATACATATTTTTATTGATTTCAGAGAGGGAGAGAGAGATAGAAGCATTAGTGATGAGAGAGAATTATTGACTGGCTGCCTCTTGCACACCCAACTCTGGGGATGGAGCCCAAAAACCGGGCATGTTCCCTGACCGGGTATCAAACCGTGGTCTCCTGGCTCATAAGTTGACCGACACTCAACCACTGAGCCATGCCGGCTGGGCCACAGAAATTAAGGCCCTCAGAGCTGAAATATCTTTTCTAGAATCATGCCGTCAGCAAGCAGCAGATCCAGGGTTTAAACTTAGGGCCTTCTGACAAAGGAACCCTGCCGCATCCAGGCTGAGAACCAAGTCTAAAGCAGGGAAAAGAGTTTGAGCAATTGGTTCATAATTTGGGATGTGTTGGGGGATAAGATACCACCCAGGAGAGATGAAGAGACAGATTGTATGAAGCCATTAGAATGTCACCTTCTGATTTGGCAACAGGAACCCAAACCCTCCCAGACGGTGCTCTCGCTCACTGCCCCACCTTGCCCATTCTTCTCCCCGAGTCCACAGCTCCTTATAGCTGAGAGAACTCAGCTCCTCTGACTCACCCTATCTAGCCACTTCCAGTGTTTCCTGGATTTCTTTAATTTGGACTTCATGGCATGCCAGGGCTAGCAGGTTCGGAGAGGGCACTCACCCAGGTCACACAGCTTCTGTGCAATAGTGGTAATGGTAGTAGAGGGACAAGCCTTTAGGAGGGAGGCTGAGGGGCAGGGCTGATTTGGGTGAGGGGAAGGATCATTAGGGAGCTTTGGCTGAGGGGCGGAGTGGGGGGTGGAGGGGGGTTGGTGAATTATTGTGCACACAAAAACAAGCCACCCTGCCTTAAGAGTTCCCAGCGGACTGCCTCTTCCAGGGTGGGGCAGAGCTCTGTCTCATTTGACCTAAAACACTGGTGAAGACAGGGCAGTCACTCTTAGTTGACCTCCCTGCAGGTGAATTAACAAAACAACACAAACACGCATGCACACACACACTCCAGCATGCCTCCTTTTCCCTGACGTGCTCTTCCGGGTCTCCCACATGCAGGTAACACACCTTCAGCTCTTACAGGGCTGCATACATCCCCCGATACACACCTAGGCTGATATGGACCCATGCCCAGAGGTCTCTGAACTGTTGTACATTATAAAACAACATCCCACTGGTAGTAGTTATTATTAGAATTCCCCAAACCACAAACTTAGAGCAACTCATTCCCCACTCCCCACTCCGTACTCCCACCCTCACCATGACAGAGATAACCCGCTGCCCTGAACACACACTCTCGAGACAGAATCCTTTGCGCATCTTAGATAAGTTCTAGAATTCTCTCAGCTGCAGACTAGAGTTTGACCTTTCCTCTCCCTGGTTAGGATCTCTTTCCTGCCCCTCATGTGGATGAATACCAACTTCTGCCTGGAGTAAATGCACTCCGTCTTCTTTTTTTTTTTTAATATATTTTATTGATTTTTTACAGAGAGGAAGGGAGAGGGATAGAGAGTTAGAAACTTCGATGAGAGAGAAACATCGATCAGCTGCCTCCTACGCGCCCCCTACTGGGGATGTGCCCGCAACCCAGGTACATGCCCTTGACCAGAATCGAACCTGGGACCCTTCAGTCTGCAGGCCGATGCTCTATCCACTGAGCCAAACCCGTCAGGGCGCACTCCATCTTCTTCACCTGAGAATGACAGAAAAGAGAATCTTGTGTCCCAGTATCTTTTGGATCCCCCCTTATGGGCTTTATGTCATTTAACATGTTTGGCCCAAGTGCTCACCTTGGGCCATACACAGGGACACAGCGGTGAACTGGACAGACAAGTCACATTCTTACAGGAGGAAGACAGATGGTAACGTGCTAAATGTGATGTATGATGTTAACTATGTCACGTGATAGGGAGTTAGTGGGAAGGGGAGATGAGAGGGCTATTTTTTTTTTATTTTTATTATCTTTTTTATTTTTTAAAATATATTTTTATTGATTTCAGAGAGGAAGGGAGAAGGAGAGAGAGAAACATCAATGATGAGAGAGACTCAGTGATTGGTTGCTTCCTACATGCCCCCCACTGGGGATCGAGCCCGCTACCCAGGCATGTGCCCTTGGCCGGAATCGAACCTGAGACCCTTCAGTCCGCAGGCTGACGCTCTAGCCACTGAGCCAAGCCAACCAGGGCGAGAGGGCTACTTTAGATAGGCTGGCCAGGAACGGCCTCTCTGAAGAGGTGACGTTGGAACAAAGCCCTAAATAAAGGATGAAAAGAGTCAGCTATCCGCCCTAGCCAGTTTTGCGCAGTGGCTAGAGCGTCAGCCTGCGGACTGAAGGGGCCTGGGTTCGATTTTGGTCAAGGGCATGCACCTCGGTTGCAGGCTCCTCCCTGGCCTGGGCCCTGGTCGGGGCTCCTGCAGGAGGCAACCAATCGATGTGTTTCTCTCACATGGATATTTCTGTCTTTCCCTCTCTCTCCCACTCTCTGAAAAATCAATGGGAAGATATCCTCGAGTGAGGATTAAAACAAAACAAGTCAACAACAACAAAGAGCCAGCTATCCAAGTACCCCGAAGCAGGATCAGCGACATAATTTGTGTGGCTCAGTGCAAAGGGCTCTTTATTCAAAAACCAGTAAGAAGGCCCTTGTAGGGTCCTCTCGAATACCAAAAGGTTGTGGGTTCAATTCCCAGTCGGAGCATGTACCTAGCTTTTGTGGGTTCAGTCCTGGGTTGGGGCAGGTACGGAAGGCAACGAATTGATGTTCTCGCTCACGTCAGTGTTCCCCCTTCCCCTTCCTCTCTGTAAAATCGATAAGCATATCCTGTGTAAGGATTTAAAAAAATATTAAGAAGTTCAAGACCATGACAGCAGAGCATTAAGCAAAGCCTGGGGCTTTTTTGATGGGAGGCATTGAAATTGCAGAGTGAAATACACAGGTGAAATGCCTGCTCTTGCCTAGTTTGCTTAGGGCCCGTTGGGGACAGGAGACAGGTAAGCCATAAACAGACAAATGGTTGCAGAAGGCTGAGAGCTGGAGGTAGGGGTGGGGAGGGGGTGAAGAGGCAGGGAAGGATTCCAGGCACAGACTGGCTGTGACCCGTCCTCCTCATGTTCTCTCCTTAGGCCTCTGACTCTTCTAGGAGCCCAGAAACACCCCCTGAGCCTCATGACCCTGCTGGTTCCCTGCCCCTGACACCCCAGATGGAGAGCCACTCAGAGGAGGAAGATCCTTCCGGGGCTGGCGGTGGTCCGGGCTGCAATAGTAAGGGTGCCCGGACCCAGAACCCCAGGGGCTGCTCAGTGGAGGCGGTGCTGAGCCGCAAGAAGCACCGCCGGCGGCCCTCCAAGCGCAAGCGGCACTGGCGGCCCTACCTGGAGCTGAGCTGGGACGAGAAGCAACAGCGGGACGAGAAGCAGGGCCAGAGGGCCTCCCGGCTCCGAGAGGAGATGTTCGCCAAGGGCCAAGCCGTGGCGCCCTACAACACCACCCAGTTCCTGATGAACGACCGGAACCCTGAGGAGCCTGACCTGGATGTGCCCCAGGGGGCCTCGCACCCGGGCTCCAGTGAAGAGAGTGAGGCAGAGGACAGTGGCGGGCCGGTCCAAGCTCCTGGCGAGTTCCAGCAGAGGGACTTCTCGGAGACCTATGAGCGCTTCCACACGGAGAGCCTGCAGGGCCGCAGCAAGCAGGAGCTGGTGCAGGACTACCTGGATCTGGAGCGGAGGCTGTCGCTGGCCGAGGAGGAGACCCGGAAGCTGCAGCAGCTGCAGGGGCGCACCAGCCGCCAGTCCTGTCGCCAGGTTGAGGAACTGGCTGCTGAGGTGGAGAGGCTCCGGACAGAGAACCAGCGGCTTCGGCAGGAGAATGAGATGTGGCATCAAGAGGGGAGCCAGGCACCTCGGGGTGCCCCCTCACCAGTTTAGCCCAAGGAGACAATTCCATTTAATGCACATGTAGGCCAGCTGGGTCTCAAGGTGGCAGGTGGTGGATGAAAACCACTCCCATCACCCTTGTGCCGCCTGAGAACAGCTTGACTTCCACCTTGTCATTTCCACAGTTTGTTCTTTGATGGCATTATTATTATTATTATTATTATTAATTTCAGATAGGAAGGGAGATGGAGAGAGAGAAACATCAATGATGAGAATCATTGATCGGCTGCCTCCTGCACGCCCCCTACTGGGGATCGAGCTCACAACCCGGCATGTGCCCCTGACCAGAATCGAATCTGGGACCATTCAGACCCACAGGCCAATGCTCTATCCACTGAGCCAACTCGGCTAGGGTAATGGCATCTTATTTTTCACGGAGAAAATAAATGGTTTTGGTGAAATCAAATGCAGTGGCTGGGACTGGTTTCACTAGGGCTCTGAGATTCAAAGCACATTCATCCCAGAAAGGCTTGGGACTTGGGGTCCTAATGCCCCCTTGCCCCGAGCCTGGGAGGACAGTAGACCTCTGCATTGGGGTCCTAGCAAGATCTCCAGGATGCTTGAATTCTGCTCTGTGTGTTGGGGAGCAGTCAGACTGCTCTGAAGGTTTCATAGAGGGGTGTGTAGAGGTGGGAGGGGGCTCAGTCAGGAGCCCCTGGGTTCAGCCAGAACTTGACTTAAGGTGCCAGATCGCTGGGAGGAGTTGGGAGCTTCCCCAGAGGAGAGAGGGCGGGGATCTTGGAGAAGGCCCACGCCCAGGGGTTCCTTCAGGGTGTGTTCCCGGGTTCCCTGTGTTCTCCCCGTCTTCCCCCGCTCAGAGGGCTGGGCTAGATGAGGTATGGGCGCCTTGTGTCTCCTTGTCCTTGATAGCCCCACCCCGACGTCGGGCAGCCAGGGGAAGGGCACTTACAAGTAAGCATGCAAGGGAAGTTTTCTCGTGGAAAATCGGCCCACGCGGCAGCGGACGGCAGTGACTCGATCCCAGCGGAGCTGTGGCCTGGCTTTCCTGGAGCCCCCGCAGCTGTGCTCCCTGCTCCTCGGAGCCTAATCGCCCGCATGGTTCATGGGGGCTGGACCCCGGCAGGTTCATTCCCTCTGAGGGGAGCCCCTCCCCTATCTGCACATAATAGACAACTGCGCCAGCCTGGGGGATGCAGATGCCTCCAACATGCCAGCAGTACTGGGCTCTGAAGCGAGCTCATACACCCCTGCTAGATGGAAAGGCAGATGAACCCTATAAGTTGCCAGGACAACTTTCATTTCTGCCCTGCCACACCCAGGCCTCACAGCCCCTTCTACAATGAAGCAAGGCGCGAGAACAGATTCTAGGAAGGGATGGGATTCAAGAGAATAAAATCTCCCACCCTGTGGGGTCTGCCCCTGGAACTCTGGCCAAGGCTGCTAGCCCCCTTCCGTACACTGTCAGGAAGGGCCAGAGGACCGACTGTCCCCACTTTGCAGACGGGAAACCCAAGCCTTAGAGAGAGTGACTTGTGGGACTCTAGGAATGCTGACCCAAGGCCTGCCTTCCCCTTTGGGTTGCCAGCCAGGACCCATAGCCCTGGGCAGGCTGGGCAGGCTGGGCAGCCTCTGCTGCTGCATTCCTCAGCACGGAGCCTGAGGGAGAGGGGAGGGGCAAGGCCATGGGCCAGGACCATGGGCGTGTACCTGGAGGGGGGTGTGTGTTAGTAACTAGGAGGGAAGAGAGGATTCCAGAGGGCTGCTGGAGGGTGTGGGGGATGGGTGTGTGTGGGATGGGTGTGGGGGTGTCGGAGATGGCTTGGGTCAGCTGTCCCTGAGTAGGCAAGATCTTCTCACGGGGGAGGGGCAGGTGAGAAGTTCAGCCCTTCTTGGCCCAGAGTTGAGGAGCTTGGAGACAGGAAAGCTGCCAGCTGGCCTTCTCTACCCGCAACACACACAGACATTCCCCGCACCCCCAAACACACACTTGGTCAGGCCTGCACCTAGGTGGGTCAATATTCCCACGGTGGCCCTGGCCTGTGTGACTCGGTTGGACATTATCCTGTGCACTGAAAGGCTGCTAGTTCAATTCCAGGCCAGGGCACATGCCCGGATTGCAGACTCCATCAATGTTTTTCTCTCTCTCAAAATCAATAAAAATATGTGTTGTTTTTTTAAAAAAAGGTGGCGGGGTCGGGGCAGGATGGGGCAAGATGAAAATGAAGAAGGGTGTAAGCCAGGAAGTGTCAGCAGGAGCTGAAAGGGATTAGTGAAGAAGTCAATGTCACCCCTCCCCCACCTGATTCCCTGACCTCAGTGCCCTCCCACCCAGTGGGGCTGGGGGTCTCCAGGCTCAGCTCTGGGGAGAGGCAGCTCAGCTACAGCTGGTGGCCAGGCACAGGTTCATTTTGCACCCCCTCTCCCCTCTCCCCCCCCTTCCCTCTCCACTGTTCCTGAGGCCTGAGCTTCTCCCTACCCACCACAATGATGTAAGCTCCGATTTACAGCCCCCACCCCCCATCTCCAACACGCCCCCCACCCCCTTCAGCTGGGAAGATGAGCTTGGACACGCTCCCTTCTCTTCCTCTGGCCTTTCCAGAGCAAATGCCCAGCGCCTTACTTCTCTCAAGTCCATTTGCTTTCCAGGACCTTCGTGCTCACCTGGGCCAGGGGAGGGAGGCCCAGAAGGCAGATGTTTCCCAAGAGTGATTGCAGAAGCTTCCCACCACTCCTCATCCCCTGCCTGGATCCTCATCCCTTCCCCATCCAAGACTCCCCCACCTCAGGTGGAAGCTCCTGTGTTCAGCGGACAGACCCTGCCCGCAATTGGGTCGGGGGATGAGGAGAGGTAGTGAGCGGACAAAGGAGCTGAGGGGGCAGAGGAAGCTGCCAGAAGTGGGGAAGGGGTCGAGGTGAAGCAATCAGTTCATGAGGAAAGAGGTGGCCCGGTCCCATTGCCTCTATTGGGTGCAGGCAAGACGGCACTGTCCCTTTAAGTGGGGGTGCCATTCAGTGCCCTCCCCCAGCCAACCCAATTCCTGGGCACACTGAGCATGTGCAGGAGCTGTGCAAGTGGAGGGGAGGGAAGCAGAGGGAGAGACTCCGGAGGGAACTCCTCACCCCTACTTCCTGTGGCTGCCCCACTCTCCTCCCTGGGCCTGACAAAGGGGCCATGGTGCTCCCCCATCCCCTTCCCCCATCCCGGCCCCAGTGGGTGCTGCCTGCAAGGGTGTGACGGGCAGGCCCTCTCTGCCCTTGAATTCTCAGGCAGCTCCCCTGCAGCCCAGAGGTGGCACACGCTTAGCCCAGCACATCCTCACTTCCCTGGTGTAGGCGGCGGGTAATCTTCCTGTTGCTTAACGTGTTTGCTTTCATTCCACTGGTGCCAGAGGTTTTAAAAGATCCATATACCCGCGATGACGCTCTGCTCTGAAAATTAAAACCAGCTACAAAGATGAGGTCCCTGCCACACCCCCTGGAGCTTCCAGTCTAAAGTCTGAGAGGAAGCAAACAGCTCAGAGGCCAAGTCTTCCTCCCACCCTCATACCTCAGCCCTCCTTCACCTTCCCTCCCCTGCCTGGGACGTGCCCACTCTTCTTATTCCTTTCATCTCTTAGCTACAGGTACCTTCATTATAATTATTGTTTTTTAATTTATTGATTTGAGAAAGGGAGGAAAGGAGGGAGGGAGGAAGGGGGGAGGGAGGGAGGAACATCGATTTGTTTTTCCACTTAGTTATGCATTCATTGGTTGATTCTTGTATGTATCTTGACCAGGATGGAAACTTGCAACCTTGGTGTATCAGGATGACGCCCTAACCAACTGAGTTACCTGGCCAGGACCTGTACCTTTATTTTTAATTGAGATGAAATTCACCTAACATGAAATTCACCATTTTAAAGCAAATAATTCTGTGGCATTTAGCACATTGACAGAGTGTGCAACTGCCACCTCTATCTAGTTCCAACCATACCACCCCAAAAGGAAACATGTACCTCTTAAGCAGTTACTCCCCATTCCCGCCTTTCTCCAGCCCCGGCAACCACCCATCTGCCTTTTGTCTCTACGGATTTACTTATTCTTCATATTCTGGTGGTCCGGCCAAGAGGGAAAGATTAGTCTCTTGGGGCCTGTGTCAGAAAAACACAGGTCCCCCGAGGGCCTATGAGGAGGTCACACTAGACCGACCGGTAGACCAGTAGCCTGTAGACCAGTAGTCTGGAGACCTGAGATCTATCCCAGCTTGCTTCTAATTCAGGGGCCTCCTCTCCTCCTTTGTTCAAAGGATGGGGGCTTCAGGCCAGTCCAGGATCCTGAGCTCTTCTCTCTGGGATTGTGTTACCTGGCCTGAAAAACATAACTCCTCCTTGATCCTCTTGGCTCCTCCCTGCTAGGTCCGGGAAGTCCAGGTAGCCCCGGGGGACATACTGTGGTGTTTGGGGTCAGAGGCATGAGATGAAGAAACTTCTGCTTGGAGAGGTTAAGAAACTTGCCTGAGGCCTCACAAGGCCTGTAGCAACCGGTTCTGATTGTATTTCAGCTCTTGCCCATTGTTCCTTGGGGTCTTCCAAGAGATGAGTAAGTTAAGGACTTAGCATCAGCTGTATAGGAGGTGGTCTCAAATGGACACAGCCATAAATTTTACTACTTTTAAAAATATATATGTACTAGAGGCCCGGTGCACAAAAATTTGTGCACTGGGGGGAGGGGGGGGGGGGGGTCCCTCAGCCCAGCCTGTGCCCTCTCACAGTCTGGGACCCCTCAGGAGATAACGACCTGCTGGCTTAGGCCTGCTCCTGGGTGGCAGAGGGCAGGCCCAATCCCTAGGTGCAGCCCCTGTTCGGGCTCAGAGCAGGGCCGATTGGGGAGTTGGGGCACTGCCCCCTGTCATGCACAGAGCAGGGCAATCGGGAGGTTGTGATGGCACCCTCAGTCACGCTCAGGGTAGGGCCGATTGGGGGGTTGGGGCACCGTCCCCTGTCACACTCAAGGCAGGGTCGATGGGGAGGTTGCAGTGCCACCCCCTGTCGCTCACAGAGCAGGGCCCATCAGGGGGTTGGGGAGCCGCCCTCTATCACCCACAGAGCAGGGCCGATCAGGGGGTTGGGGCGCCGCCACTCTCACACTCAGGGCAGGGCCGATGGGGAGGTTATGGCTCTACTCCATCACACACAGAGCAGGGCTGGTGGGGGGGGGGGGAGGTTGGGGCGCCACACCCTGTCACACACAGAGCCGCAGGGCGATCAGGGGGTTGGGGAGCTCCCCCCTATCAGGAACAGAGCAGAGCTGATCGGGGGTTGGGGCGCCTTCCCCTGTCACGAACAGAGCAGGGTGGATAGGGAGGTTGTGGCCCCGCCCCCTGTCACACACAGAGCCGCAGGGCAATCAGGGGGTTTGGGCGCTGCCCCCTGTCATGCTGATCCCGGTGCTGGGAGGCATATTACCCTTTTACTATATAGGGTAGAGGCCTGGTGCACGGGTGGGTGCCGGCTGGTTTGCCCTGAAGGGTGTCCTGGATCAGGGTGGGGGTCCCCACTGGGGTGCCTGGCCAGCCTGGGTAAGGGGATGATGGCTGTTTGCAGCTGGTCACACACCTTTCAGGGTGGGGGTCCCCACTGGGGTGCCTGGCCAGTCTGGGTGAG